AAAACAAATATATACTTTTATGGCAATACAATCAGGTGATTTTTTTTTCAATTTGGTTTACGTTTGAAGAATGAAGGGAATAACGCTCCTATGTATTTTTCTTCCACCATGTGTACCTATCCATAACATTGCAATAGACTTGTTTTCTTGTCTCCGCTGCCTAGCAACTATTTATTATTATTTTTGCTGATTGCTCAAATTATTTCTTCACATAACCTTAAAGTTGTAGTTGTGTTGACTATCAGTGTGCATTATTATTGTGGTGAATAGTGGTAATTAGTGTTTAATGTGGTGAAAAATAGCGTTCGTACCACGGACCGAAATGGTTCTGCAGCTCTCGATCGTCAGGAAAAAAACTCATTTTCGGCCCTAGGTACGACATATATACTATTGTGTCAGGATGGAATAAAAATTCCTGTACACCATATCTTTGTGTAAAAACCTTCCCTTTGTAAGCTTTGGTTTTGTTATTTTCTATACATATTTTGATTCCTTCCAGAGTTTTAAATCTGCTAAAGGAAATAAATGTAATTGTTAGTGGAGATGAGAGTACCAAGTTATCCACATAGCCACACAAAAATGTCTGGTGGACTTATTAAGGTCTGGTGACCTGGCAGGCCAGCGAACCACGCCATATTATTATCATTAAAATATTCATAAATAGTCAATTATATAAATTATATAATTATATAAATAGTCATCCAAGTTGTGCATTTTGCACTGAGTCAATCTTGTACATATCGTTTGAATGTACCATAGTTACTAACACCGTAAACGACATTTAATTTTTCTCAATGCCTAAAAACCCAAGATTGGATATTGATCACAAGGCATGACGATGTTAATCCTATCAATTCCTTAATATTCTTATTATGAATTTTATAAGGATTCTGAAAACTACAATAAAGCCCATTTGAGCATTATTTTTAATGCAGGTGATGCCATATTTTTAAGCAAAGACATGCTTTTTTACTCTATTTTAGCCGTTCCGTGTTTTTTAAGAGGGACTTTTAAATTGTATGATACCACTTCAAAGAATCAGTAGGTTTTATAGGCCTACACCATTTTAAAAGTTATTATTTGAAGAAGTTTTTAAACCTTCATTGCTGAATGAGGTTTTATACAGATGTTTTTTTCTCAATGACACTATGTAAAACTTACTGTTACTATTAGAAATTTAATGAGGATTCTGAAAATTACAATAAATTGGAAATAAAATAATATTTAGTATAGGCATACTTATAGCAATTTTATGTAGGTAGGTAATTACATATATGTTGAAAAATTGTAATTTGTCTTTGATTTCTTACATGTGAGGGTATGGAAACATAAATTGGTGCCATTTGTCACCAATTTTATTTAACACCACATTTTATTTAAAAATGTGTTAGGTTTAAGGGGGGAGTCTGCGAAAAAAATTATTTTTTTTATTTATTTGAATATTTTATCCCAACCTTAATAGCATGTTTGGGTATGCTTCAGAATAAAAAATTGAGGTTTGATTTTTTTTTATACCCACCCCCCCCCCTTGGGGGGGGACTATTTGAAAAAATTGCGGTGACTTACAGGAAACGGTCTTGAGCCTACAGTTGTTTCCCTACATTAATAATTTAAATTGTTTTTGTTTCCTAGCAACATTATCTATGACATGGAGTATGGGTTTGTTTGATATCCAGAAAATAGTGTGGTAAAAACATTTTTGAAGTTCTGATTTTAAAAAAACTAAAATTTTGTTGTTTCTTTATTTATTTTTTAATATTTAGTCACAACCAAATCTAAAACCCATACTCCATTTCATAGACAATTTAATGTTGATTAAAACAAAACCAAAATCATGGTGATATCTCTTCAAATACTTGAACTAAAACATTTCTCGTCATAAAATAACACACTTTCGGAAAACGCCAAAAAACTTGACACAAGAAGGTTTAACATAAGATTTATTGCTTGTAACTTACTGTTTTCAGTTAGAAATCCCCAGCTCCATACATTGGACCTTCCTCCTCTATTTTCTTGTCTTCTTCTGCAATATTCTTCATTCTTAAATAGTTTCTTCGCCTCTTCAACCTCTCTGATTTACCTTGATTGATTTTCAGCTTTCTGCGACGATCACGAACTTTTGCTAAAACGACACTTTTCCTCCCTGGAGATAAATTGGATTTCTGAAGGGCATGAATGACAGCAGTGTTTCCAAAGTTATACTCACTCACACCTTCTGCTACTGCTAACTCAACTAGTTTTTTTGAAACGCTCCTGGTTTTTTCACATCTGCGCCAAATGAAACTATGCAAACTTTCATTCGCATTTTGAGTTTGCCCCCTAAGACATCTTTGTAACAGAGAGGTCTCAGTTAGCCTCTTGTAAATTGGTGCTATGTTACTTAGCACTACCTCATTTAGTGGTGTTTTTATATTGTCAACATGACTTCCAGGAACTTCACCATTGGCAATGGCACGATTATAAAAACACCAGGACTGTTCATCCGATGGGCATTTTGTGTGTCTGGGCTTCTCATCTGTTGATGAGCAGTGGTGAAGTGTGGCTAGTATTGAGTTTCTCACTGAAGGTACATCTTTATTTATGTTACTAAAAATGGCATTGTGATAGTATCTGGTCAATTTCTGTATTGTGGTGTTCTTCAAGCTTCCATGAGTTTTTCCACCGAGAGTTATTTTCCGGGCCTTACTTATTTTCAGTTGGTTTCGAAGAGCTGTACCAAGCCTTTTAGACACATGGTTGATGCATTCTTCCTTTTTCAGTTCAAACTAACTGCCATACACATTTAAACTCTGTAAGTGTGAAAAAACTTTTGAGTCGCCATCACTAATTATGGTCGAGTACCTGAATTTGTAGTCCACTGAGCGGTTCCACAAAATTTCCGCAGCAGCAACCTCCATGCCTGGTGATGAACCTTCATAGTTCTTGTCACAATCTAATTTATGACCCTGGAACCACACTTCAAATTCAGCGGAGTCTTCACCTAGGTCATGTTTAGCCATTGCACAGTTGCGACAAAACTTTGACAACACACAGTAGGTAGTCGATGACAAGACCTGTGTCAATGTGAATAACTGATCCCACGCCGTAATTTGAGGTAAAGCCTCGCTTATGCCATGACCCATCAAAACTTACAGCTAAATCAAATACACTATCATCCTTCAAGCAACTATTCTCAGCTAGGCAGTGCTGTCGGACGCGCGTCCTTGCTACGGACAGACATTCGACTCCCGACATTTTTCCTTTCTTTATAACTTGTTGCGAACATTTATGGTACAGATGCTTGCTCATACAGTCCATGTTCATAATCATTGAAAACTGTTCAAGAGCAGCATGACCTTTACTAATAGAAGTGAAAACTTTCGCAACCCGTATATTAACATCATACCCATCATCGTTGGGAATTTGAGTAGAAGTTGATACTGACACAACGCTATCGGAGCAGTTCTCACAATCTACGATCAGCTGTGAATTGAAACCACATTTCTTTGAGACCACTAGTTTGAGTCCAGATAAATTACAATTAGGACATACAAGTTTTTCAAACAACTGGCTCAAATGTTTTTTGTCTACAAATAAATACTCAGGCGCTGCTTCTAAATTTTCGCCCTCGTTTAGGCCTACCGGTAGTTCAATCTTATTATTCACAAAATCTTGTTTCCTTAGATTTGAATATAAATCACCATCAGTATTTTGATTAGAGATGTTTTGTTCAATCACATTACAATTAGTCTCACTTGTATGTGGCTCGGGTGATGGGCTAGGCCTATCTTCCAATTCAGGTACAGAAATGTTCGGATTGTCAGATTCACTTTCATTTTTTCCCCATCTTTTACTGATAGCTGCTTTTGCCCTAGCTTTTCTAGACTTGGGAGTAGTTTTACTGACCTTACATCTTGTCTTGGTTGGTGCCATTGTATTAGATAACAAAAATAAAACAAAAACCTACAACCAGGTTACCGGTACTGAGTTCAAGGCTATGGCCTAGGTTGGTTCTCACAAAACTTCACTCACAGAAAGTAGGATAAATGCAGCTTTCTATAATACAAAACTAATAAATACTTCTCTATAATATCACATCACTAAACAATAAAAGAACTGAAATAAAATAGAGTTATATTTTCAATACTGTGCAGATAAACAACAGAAGATAAACAACAACAGAAATCAGCTGCTGTATTATAAAAGCAGAAAGCTGATAAACAGAGACAAACAAAACAAAATATCACTGTTATGTAGTGGGCTGGGGGCAAAGGCATTCAAATTAGTTAAAGGTGATTTCTACATTCTGTATATATAATAATGCAGTAATCCTAACTTGAATATAAGAGTGAATGACGAGCAGCAGCGTTCATGCGAAGGTGGGAAGCTAAAATTATTCAGTGTAAGGTTAACTTTAAAAAATATTTACGGGGGTAAATAAAACTTTTTATTGCATGTTTTATATATTTTTTTAATCACAAATGTATACAGAAAAAGAAAAAAATATTTTCAAAAATTGGAAAAAAAATAATTTTTTGTCATTTTAAGTGCAGACTCCCCCCTTAAACAGCTAAAGGCCCTACTTAGTAATTTAACACGTAAAATCTTTAACTCCAACTTCGTTCCACCCTGTATAGGGTGGATACTTTAATACTTTTCTTTGAAATGGTGACCATACAAAGTAGGTATTTTAAGCCACCCTGTACATGATTTGAATTCAAGTTTTCAAAATCTTTAAATAGATTCAAATGTTGGCAAACGTCCGAACAAAGCAGGGTTTAGTAAAATAGTGTAGGTACCGGTAGTTAAAATTGTTACATTTTCGTTGTTTGCCTATAATTAACAGAACATAAAATATTAAAGCGACATTTTGGGCCTAAGGTACCTTATGACAGCGCATAACTTTTTTATATTTTTATACTATGTAATCAATGCTTCCCATTACGAATCTTAGCCAATATAAATATATAGCTTATAATATTACTTAGACATATAATGTGGGTAAAAATAATCCATAGACATTTTCAAAAGGACGTTTATTTTAACAATATTTACAATTTATCACTACTCACTAATTTCATTGGTGAGAAAAATAAGTTAAAACTGTACAAAACAAGAGTTAAATAAATTACGTGATTTATGAAGAACTGCTACTTGTGATATCCTAAAACAGAAAATAAACATTAATAACATTTCCAAAGGCATTTTAAAATCTTTTAAAAAATATACTCGTAAATGTTCTAAGTGTTTAGATTAGGAAAACTTTTGTACGGATTATCATGTAAACTTTTTTTTTACTAGGGTGCATTAGGTTCAAAACGGTCCCCGTTTATGACGATCGAGTACACTAGAACACTCTTGAGTTGACATTTACCAACTGCTGGCTAGCTATTAAACAAACATTTTCATTTTTCAGTCATCACTCATCAGCTATCAACGTTACATTTTGATCATCCGACTGCAATGCACGGACCCTTACCCGGTACAGTATTTAGGCCTACTTATTAATCGTGTGGCTCATAGATACAGAGAATTAATGCGTAGATTCACAAGCAATTTACTGACATGAAGTATAATGTAATTTACATTGGTTATGTTCGCGTGAAACGTTTTGTTTAGTAAACTAATTGGGAACATAGATTCTTCACTAAATTTGTGTATCTAAATTGCCCTAAAAATGTAATCGTTGTTTCGCAATTAAACTAAATTTAATAAGATCAATGTCCAAATACCGATATCAAAGGTCTGATAAGCAAACATGTGTAGGTAGATGGCTTTATCACTTGAAAGTGTTAGGTTTAAATAGCTAAAGGTAAAATTGTTTTTGTTAATTGCCTTTCTATTTCCATTATTTATGTAAAATAGTTCATTTTACATTTTGATAATTGCTCCGTAATAATCCTAAAAAATTTGAAATGCAACAAGAAAAGTTTAAAGGCATCGCATATGTTAATTAGCAGTGTAATAACTACTGGTACAATTTTCATTTGGTTAAATCATGCTAAACAAAATTCATCAAACATTATCAAACTCATCAACTCAAACATCATACAAAACTCATCAATGACAGATAACAACAAAAACTCCCCTAAACCCAGCGTCAGCGTCGACAACGCGACCGGACCGGTAAAACTGGCAGAAAAAACGCGACAGAAATGACGCGAGTTCTGTTATACGGGCAGGTTTTACGCGGCAAATCCGAGCTTCACCCCCACCATACTTCTCCGACAGGGTAGTTCCCAGGCGCCAGTTGTGCAATACTGTTGTTGCGTTGAAAAATGCAAAATCTGTCGCGTTTTTTCTGTCCGTATAAATGGGCCAAAATGAACAAGACAATCAATAGCGACTCGTTTTATACGGTTATTGGGTTCTGTTGACCAATTTAGGGATGTGTGTCGGTATACAATACTTACACGTACGACAGTTTTTATTGATAACGTCAATGTAATCAGTTAGTAAAGAATCCGTCGGTGGCTGGATATGAAACAAGTAAAATTGACGACCAGGGATCGGTTAAGGTCATAAATTATATTCAATATACTGTATCTTAAATCTGGTTTACTAGCTGTAAAGACCTACCTGAGGCTTGAGACTCTGCCATCCTGAGAAGTGGGAGGGTTTGAAGGCTCCACTACTACTGCTGCTGCTGCTGAGAGGACTAGAGTTGTAGTAGCTGCCCTGGTAGGAGCTGGCGTACCCGTGGCTGTCTCCAGCTCCACCGCCGTGCCCTCCTGACGAGTATCCACTCCCGTGGCTAGAGCTGCCGCTGTATCCTCCTCCAACTGGGCTAGAACTGTAGCCGTGGCCACCGCTTCCAGAGTACCCGCCGGTGCCATGCCCGCCACTGTAACCTCCGAGACCACTACTTCCGGAGTATCCGGTACTTCCGGAATATCCTCCGTGGCCACTGCTTCCGGAGGATCCTCCATGTCCACCACTTACGGAACTACCATGTCCGCCCCCTGACGAGTATCCTCCATGGCCAGAGCTTCCGGAATATCCTCCAAGACCACTGCTTCCAGAATATCCTAGACCACTGCTTCCAGAATATCCTCCATGTCCACCACTTCCGGAACTACCATGTCCGCCCCCTGACGAGTATCCTCCATGACCAGAGCTTCCGGAATATCCTCCAAGACCACTGCTTCCAGAATATCCTAGACCACTGCTTCCGGAATATCCACTACTCCCTGAGTACCCACCATGCCCCCCACTGCTATACCCTGGACCACTGCTACCGGAGTACCCACCGTGACCGCCACTTCCCGAGTAACTACCGTGTCCACCACCTCCAGAGTACCCCCCATGGCCACTACTTCCAGAGAATCCTCCATGGCCACCGCTGCTGTAGCCTCCACTGCCACTGTATCCATGACCCCCGCTGCTGTAGTCACTTCCGGAGTAACCACCCCCGGCACCGCCGGAGTAGCCTCCCAGGGTTGCTACTGTGTGTCCGGAACTGTAACTTCCATGTCCACCACCACCGCTGTACCCTCCGTGGCTGCTTAGGTCGTTTCCGGAGAATCCGCCACTGTAACCACCTCCACTACTTCCCGAGTACCCACCGTGTCCTCCACCACCAGAGTATCCTCCATGTCCTCCACCTCCAGAGTATCCTCCTAGACTTCCACTGCTGTAGCCTCCACTTCCATGTCCTGGGTATCCACCGCTGCTGTAGCTACTCCCGGAGTGTCCGCTGTATCCACCGTCCGAATATCCTCCTCCGTAACCCCCGAGGCTACTCCCGTGTCCGCCACTATATCCACTGTATCCTCCATGTCCACCGCCTCCTCCGAGGTTGCCGAAGAGGCTCGACAAGCTCTTCCCGCTTCCTCCATCTCCTCGGATGACGATGGTCTTCACCTTCCCGTATCCCTTCCCTCCAAAACCTCCGCCTCCCTTGTATTTGCCACCGCCATGAAAGGAGTCCTCGTCCAGGTAACCTCCATGCTTGGCTACCTCCAGGGCATGACCTCCTCCACCACCTCCATGGCCTCTATAACCTGAAAAAAACATTGTTTAAATACAACAAATCGACTTGTAAGATTGTAGCCTACTGGTCATTGCCATTTATTACAGCCAATTCTTCAGCTAAGGTATAATTCACTGCAAGAGTAAAAAAAATATAAACGTACGTGTCCAACAAAACGTACCAACTAATGATTTTAATATTTAATTATCAGTCACTGAACTTCCATGGTTGGATTTTATATGACAGTTTTCCATAGCACTAGAAATGTTTGTTTAGTGTAAGGAGATACTTGTACAATACCGGTATTCATTACTTAGATTACATTTCATTCACAGCAAGCTTAATTAAATGTAAGTTAAGCCTTTGTATTTACCGATTCCAAAACTAAAATACACTGTTCAATGAAATTAATCAGAGTTTACGACATCGTAATCCTCAAATATTTTTATAAATTACAAATGACAATTTTACAAATTGTAATCCCAATATATTTTCTAATAAAATACAAACCTTCGTGAAATAACTATTTCAGGATATTAAAATAATATTTATGATCAATGCTTACTATCCACACAACAGTAATATTTTTGTTCTTTGGTATACCTATAGAAAACTAGGTACGGTGTACCTATCTAGGTTTTGCCAGATCGTAAACCTTATGTAACTTAAGTCTACCTGTGGGCAACAAAAAATAACACTTTCCACCGTTCTACCTAAAAGATATATTCAAATCGGTGCACAACTAAGAATCTTTACATCTAAACACCCCTAAAAGTATGTGTACGGTGAACCGTTTTCTGGAAATTTCCAAAAGTATTTATTTATGTAAAATCAGAATCGCACCCATATATTACAGCTATCACATGATCTGGTCCTGCGGTCAAACAGGTATATGCCCTGCTCTCTCTAGGCGGTCAGAATACTGTAGAAAGTGACAGGGATCAAGTGTCGAAATGCTAGGAAAGCAACCATGAAATTTTAACCTGGAAACCTACAAGTGTCGGGTGCACTTTTCTATTTAAATTAAGTTAATTCATCTTGTACATATATAATGCTTTCCAACTTAATCAATTGGAAAATTCTTATGATATAAATCTGAATAACTGTCGTTGATGCCATTTTCAGCTTTAATGTTCACAAGTTTTTTTTAGGATTAGTTAAATTCAGATTTGTTATAATATGCAAAATGTTATAAGATAATTATCGTTAACAACTTATAAAACGAATTAGAGGTCGTCCAGTGGTCGAAAACTCTACCAAAAATATTTAATGTACAGACTCTATTTTCATCCCACGCTGTAAATAAAACACGTGATTGGAATTTCTTTCATTTGTTTTGATTTTCTTTTTATGTTTCGTTGTTATTTCGTCACCAACATGGCAACCCATAAGGCCTATGTTATTTTTATTTAAAATCCATTTTTTTTGTGCTTATTTTGAGCCTATTTTAATTTATAAAGGGATTCTGCACATCTACAGATATATCTTTCTAACAGTATGCGATGAACACGAGCAGAGAAAAAAGGTTTTAAAGAAACATGCTTGCCTATTAATATATAGATGCCATAATACAAGTTTGAATATATAATGTGTTAATTTAAGTAAAGTCTAATCTAATAAAATAACTGAAAAAGGTAAACTTTATTGGATTTATATGTGCATTCACTGGATAACTAAGCATAAATTTGTTCGTCTAATTATGTCGTACAATCGATCAATGTAATAAACAATAAGTATTCTCGCCAAAAGGTGATTGAAGCAGGTTTCCAATTCAGTAAAATTATAAAAGCTAAAAGCATTATAACAATTAATCTATAAACAAACATTAACTGTTTCTGGTTTAGATGCATTATATCTTTGATTGTTCCCAAAACCAATGATTGCATCGTTAACGTTTGGCTATTACCATGACATGCGTTTAATATTAAAATAAAAATAAAATTAGAAAATGATTCAATCCATATCCTAAAATCAGTTCAACCGGACAATGTCAACAAATTTTTCTAAGGGTTACATTATAAGTGTTTAATTTATGAATCGTTGCGTGTTCATAACCAGACTTACATCAATTCAACATAACCGTCTCATCCCATTCGCAAAAGTTGTTTTAATTGTGTTTTTCTATTAATTTGCATATGCATTGATCACAGCTTATCATTGATACTTTTTAATACTTTTTAATGAAATGGTGACCATACAAAGTAGGTATTTTAAGCCAAGTATGAATGGAGATGAGTGTAGGATGAGTAGCGCGATCTTGTAGTCTTGTTAGTGACTAAGGCCGACATATCCTTAGAAACAGCTGTTAATTAATAGACCATGCAGCTAATGGCAACTAAGGGACCTACAGTTTATAGTGGAATCCGAACCACATTTCATTTTCACTTTAGATATCACAAACATATCTAAATAATCATCACTTATAATTTCTTTGAAGGTATACCCTTAGTTATCAAACAACCAAAAGACTCATTAGTGAAAGTACAGTTTCAAAATTGCAAATCCAAAACACATTATCACACTAGTTACGTAACAGAGAAACCCTCCAAAAAACCCAGCTGATCGCCAACATGCCGGAAATGGAGGGAACTGGTCCGTATAATGATACAGAGTGATTATATCGATGAATATGAGCGAAGAAAGTAGTCAAGGTCAGGGTGAAAGTTACTCACCAGAGGGGGGCTCGCCGGTGGCACACGGGGCGAGTGCCAGGAACGTGTAAGCGAGTGCCAGGAACTGCGTTACCAGTGAAACCTGCAACAGTGATATCACAACGATTAGTGAGGTTAACATACTGTAGATTACACCTTGGCGTTGAATACATTGGTTTCTCCCTTTCCATTAATTTTTCGCACTTTCTCGTCGAATAAGTTTGCTCTGAAATGTGAGAAGCTTTGATTAAACTGTCTACTAAGTGATGGAACTTTGAAAAGCAGGTTGATTGAAAAGTCGAATGAGATAATCAGTGTAGCTTTGTTGTTGACTAAGATCTCAAAATCCTATTGATAAAGAATGCTGAGCCTTGCGAACCACCAAAAGCACCTGAGTTATATCAGGATCGAACCAGATACTGTTTGATTGCAGGACAAGTGCTACATTAACTGACAAAAATGCGTTAGTAAGGCTAAAACTGTATACCTTTTAATGTGTTTGATGCTCAATCTAGAAATATATGATATTAGTTTTTATCTTGGCTTAGCTAGGTGTTCTTTTAGTCTACGCTACGAGAGATATACCACTTGCTACTAAATTGCTTAATTTTACTTTATTTCAATATGAAGAATTTTCAACTCATGAGAATCAAATCAATGTCATAAATAATAACTTAAACAATTTTTTGTGATGTACAATAAAATTATGTTACTATAACATAGCCAATTACGTAATTACTTAACTTAAACTCTTTCACACTAAAACATTTCCCCGTAGAACTCGACCAAGTCAGTAGATAATCTATGGGTGGTTAAAGAAAAAGACCTAATATACCAACAAAAATAGTACATTGGAAGTAAAATGTACTAGTTAAAAGATAAATTACCTTATACAGTACCTTATAAGTCTAATTAAAACCATTCCATTTACATGACCATGATTAGAGACTTCTTTATACCAACGAGCACATAATAATATATTAATATTATGTGCTCGTTGCTTTACACATTTTGACACGTGTTTTCACCCAATCTCCCCCCCCCCATCAAAGTAAACAGTACTACATTTTATATGTTAATCTAATGGGAACTTAGGGTTTCATATATTTTATTAATGAGTTTTCTTGATTTTGAATAATTACAATAATAATATTTAGAAAATTCTATTTGAAGGTTTCAAAACTGTAGATTAGCCTATGCGTTACCTCTGAAAATGGGCTTCGTAAGGGACCTACCGAAAAAAATCCTTTAGCAGCATAAAGATAGTAGACCTATTTAATCTATGATTTTAGCTGTAACTAAAGAATGAATACGAGTATAATATTCTTGTCTTTATGGTTTTGGTATTGCATATCCAATATGAGTATTGTGACTCGGCATCTTCATAAATCAATCTTTATTGTTGTTACAAACAACAGCAGCATTATAACATATTAATAGAAAAATTATCACATGGGCTTCTGCCTGTGCTTGATAAGTTCCACAATCCACACTGGCTGCATATGATTATCTTCATGTTGGATCAACCAAGAAAAAAGCACACTTACACTTCCTTAAACTAAATACATCGGTTTAGGCAAGGTAATGGATCTTGGGACTGTGGGTTTGGTCAGTTATCGAGTAGACCCAGTTTCTTCTATTATGACAACTGTGATTAAGAAGATCCAACATTGTATACCGACTGGAAAACGGATAGTTAGTTTCAAACATTTCATTTGACATTGCTCCATAAATATATTTATGTCTAATTTACTGTACAATATTTCCGTCATCTTTCTAACTACTTCATACAACACTGACATGCTAAACTCTACAGGTCTAATTATCAGTTAACATCTGCCTAGTGTACAATCTGTCTAGTAATAGTTTTAGTTTCGTCCCATTTTCCCTCGGATTCCATTCTATCTAATGATGGAATAACCCCCACACCCATACCATTACAATCTCATGAGGCAAGACAAAGAGAAACGAATCCGTAGAAAGCATCTCGCTTTAAACACTGTGTTTGTTATAATTTGACGGTAGAAAGTAGACATAAATCAACAATGCTAGAAACTATGTTTTCTTCATACGTCCAGCGATCGCTTGTCCGTAACTGTGAAGTGCTAGAAAGTGACATAACGTGAAGTGATGAAGTGCACACGTTCACGTCATGTGACAATTACATGGACTTTTTACTGAGTGTCAAAAAATTCCTGGACGGTTTGATACAATGTTAAAATTAAAATTTGGATTCTATCCTTTTGGTAAGTTACCTTATGCATGCTTCCACATGTTTCAAATCATGATTAGTCACGTTTAAGGTATTTGATATGAGATTTGTTATCAGAATGAGTAATCTGTTATAATTTGCTATGTTAATTACAATTATCAGACCCAACTTTTATTCAAACTTATTTTCGCTTACGAGTGTCATTTTTTTTTATCTGAAGTTATGTTAAATTTGGGTACTTACATATGTAACATATGTTACATATGTTACATATGTTATGTTATATTTGCAATATGATACAATATTAACTCATGTCTGTACTTTGGACTAGTGATTCCTTGTCAGATGTCGAACCGTTAAATATTAAAAACAAAACAATTTTATACTCGACAGTATCCCACAGCAATATTGTTTTTTATTCTCAATCTGATTTACAATATATATATTCTGTTGGTTTCTTTAAATGGATTGATATCAGATAGGGATGGATTGTATTGTTAACTGACGCTAGGCTTTATATCATATCCAACAATGTCACGCAACACGCAACAATATTGTCAATCTTTGAACATTATCATGCTTTTTGTGTTTATCTGTACTGTATAAATGATTAACCAATTAGCGATGTAATAACAAATTTTATTAGGATTTACTCTCTTTTAAACACAGTAAGATGTAATTATACATTGGAAGTATGATTAGATGTTCTTGTATAATCCACGATTCTTTATGGGGCGGGATTTAAAACAAACCTGTCATTCATGGAATTACTTTTGAATAATTCCCCAACTGGTTTATTTGTGAAACAAAGAATTTGCTTGAGTACTGAAGTCGATTGTTTTAAGTGACATTCCTTACGACTTACACGTGGGAAAAATTCCCTGTGCGGGGAAATCCAGTAAATCAACCGAGAAGGACACGCTTGGCAACTCCCTGTAAACATATCTCGTCCTTGGTATCAACCAACGGAAACATCTTCCAGATCTCTTGATTGTGAAAACATGTCGGAAGTCCAATGTTGAAGATTTGTTTCCTGTGAACTCTTTGAAATTCGTGGTTTCCTGCGTTTTGCGAGTTTTCCTTATCTGTAATGTTGATGTTGGTGTTGATGTTGTGCAGGATGTTGATGAGTGAAATGTTCCAGGTGTTGATTAACGATGGGGATTTATACTTTTGTAATTGTCATAATAAAAATAGTTCTTTGCAAACTCCTGGTTAAGTTGAAGTCATTTTATGAAGCGAAGGTATATGTTATGAAGGTATCAAACATGATCAAGATTACAACTTATGTCAGTTTTGGAATTAGGAAATGCCTCTGAGGCAGATTTGAATCCAGAAGATTTATGAAGATGTTGTATTTCACGAGTATTGTGTTATTATTCAAGTCGTACAAATAGTATTGCAAATGAAAGAAATGATTGTCCCTTGCGACTCGTAGTTCTGGCTACACAGTTGTCTGAATCCAAGTCTGTAATAGGTGCGTGAACCTCAGGGATCTACTGGATTTATTTTCTACTAGCAGAGTAACCGTCCTTAGTACGGAGTTGGCGTATAAGTATAAAATTCTTATTCCAGTATACTCTTAATGACACAGCTAATCCAGTATAAAACTGGTCTTAAGCATAGATGGAGGTAAAAAGATATATAAGTCATTACATAAGTTTGACTTGGTAAAAAAAATCGTTGATTCAACAGAAATTTTTCATTTTAATCAGCGGAATCTGGTGGTGGCTCACATCAACTACGACTAATTTAATTTAAAACCTGGCGACAACTTTAACATGGGGATGGAATTTCTAGTTGTAGGTCAAATACAGGCTTTCCTATTTTTACCCCACGCTGTAAATAAAACATGTGATTGTAATTTTTCCTTTTGTTTTGAATTTCTGTTTATATTTCGTTGTTATTTCGTCACCAGCATGGCAACCCATTAGATCCATGTTAATTTTTACAAAATTTTAAACTCATTTTGTGTGCTTATTTTTTAGCCTATTTTAATTTATAAAGGGATTCTGCATATCTACAGGGAAATATATTTTCAACAGTATGCGTATATTTTCTCTGCGATGCACACAAGCTGAGAAAAATGGTTCTAAAGAAACATGCTTGCCTATTAATAGATAGATATAGATATAGATACTAATAAGGTTAACATGGAAAACTCTAGAGCCACTGGAGTGGAGCCCGAAAGGATTTTTGGGATAAGAATAATATGTCTACATGATAATCGGGAATGTGAGCTATCATTATACCAAATTTCAACCCAATTCGACCAGTATGTTATAATGCGTGATTGAACTTCAAACAATCAAACGATTTGAATGATTTATCATTGGTTTTATCCTTTATAGAAATGTAAATCGAAATCGTTCTTACAACTGAATTTGTTTTCCTATCAATGCTCTGTAATTTTAATCCCGTAATTATTTTGAGTAAAAAAGAGAATACAGCAGTAATAACTTTAGGACAATAAGGACATACCAAGAAAAATACCATGTGCGTATGAATGTTGATATTAAGGTGTTACCATACTGTAACATCAACTAAACCGTCTTCTACGCATAAAAGTATCGTGTGTTTAATAAAAGCCTTACCTTTGCCCATAAATTAATGTACTTGGCTGGTGTTTTACTTGTACTGTATTCACCTCTGAATATTAAGGTACTTTTTATCATGCCATCAAGATATTTCTGTTGATCACAATTCAAACAATGATTATTTTTTTCCGATTTGAGATACTACGTTTATGTTATCAACATTGGGGAGGGGAGGGGGGTTCAATATCAGAACTTTTTTTACTGTAACTGGTTTTTTTAATTGTATTTGTTGTTTTTACAGCATTGCTTAGGTACGATGTTACTTCGCTATCAATGTATTCAGACATTGTAATTTCAGAACAATTGGTTTATTAATTGGCTTGTTGTATTTAAATCGATTGGAAAAATCATTCAAACTATATTTAATTACAAATGTTATAAGAAAGAGTTCTACGGGTCTCGAATTAAAAATAAGGGTTCATTTCATCTGTGAAAATATACGTGTTTGAGTTAATAAAGGTTTCACCCATAACACTGAATGTGCCAAAAGTATTTATTCTTTATAATAGTTGTGATAAATAGTATTTATGTCATGCCAGTGATTAATAGACGTATATAATGCCTTAAAACCAATGTAGTCCATACGTCAAAAAGCCAAGAAGTAACTATTTACTTGTTTTTGGCATTTTATAAATGGGGAATCGTGTGCAAGCTTTATCTTTTCGTCAATAATGAAAACCAAGTACAATTTAAACTTTTCACAGCGGCTTTTAGAGGTCCATTTGTGTCGATGCAAGCACTTGTTATTTAACTAATTTTATCTAATATTTTGGTGTATTTTCTTTTGGAAAACTACACCAACATCACCAAAAATACGAACAATATTGATACAAAAATTGCTACTCTCATTTTGAATTACTTTTGATTTTTCATTTTGCTTCGTCACTAATTATGAACAATTCCGATATCCCTAGAATTGTATTGTTGACGAGCGTATTGTAATAGTGTTTTTATTCCTCGAAAAACTTAAAAAGTTTATGATGTTATTAAATAAATCTTAATATAGCCCTTTTAAGGCTCTACCGTCGTCAATAATCTAAATTCAACCTCCCGCCAAACATTTCTCAGCATTTCTGGAGTAACATGTGCAATACGCTCTCGCAAGTGGTTCAGGTTTCTAACTTTGTCAGAATATACAATGCTCTTTATATAGGACCAGAAAACCATCTACCCATAAAAAAATTCAATGCAATGTTAATTCCATCCCCGAGAAATGCAGCAAAGGTGTGCGATGTGCTAAATTTTGAATTAACGCCGGCAGAGCCTTACACGGTGACCATATTGAGATTTATTGAATATCTTCAAAAAGTTTTTGAGTTTTTCTTTCTGTACATAATATGTTAATGTTACCATGTAGTTAATATGGTGTAAATAAAAATGTATGTTAAAATCTCTCAGTTCTTTTTGGACCACCCTGATATATTATCAAATACACATATATTCAAAAATATATTATTCCTGACACTAAGTAAATCCAAATTTGATCAACAAAAAATTCAAAACACCAACATCTTTAAATTAAAATTGTTTTCCAAACCTAAAGTCATATTGGTAGTCAAAACTTACCCACATGCTGAAGGGTCGGGAGTCACTAAGGTGGCGGGCGGCAAAACCAGCTTTATACTGACCTTCGGGGGCGGGAGATGACTCCAGGGGGAGAGGGGGGGGCGAGAAAGTGAATCTGAAGTCTGGAGGCGGTAAACACCACAAGAAAGTCCAAACTGCTCTAGACAATCAGACATAACAGGCGCAGCATGAAACTGTCATAAAGCCCTGCAATGCGCCCAGCGTATTGTTGCAAGGCGGTTTAAACTATTAGAAGCACCTTCGTCGCCTTCATCTACTGTCGCCTTCTGTGATGGTATTTCCTGCCCAATGCGATGGTATCAGCTAAATAGACGAGTAGTTAGAGAGTTTGAGACAAGAGAGTTTTTTGGTCATTCGAAAACACCGGTTCGACCTGAGAAAGGTTGGCTTTTGATTGCTCAAAACTGAGTCTAGTTCATGCGGGGGCTGAGCATACTACTGACCCCAGACCCCACTGTTTTTAAACGGGTTCGTTTGGTAGAGATTCAATTTAAACAAAACTCAAGACACGGGTAGCTAAAACATTTAATATCTAGGTACTAAGTGGTACTGATGATTCTCTTATATTGTAAAAGGTAGCCAGTTTTTTTACTTCATAGCTGGCTTTGTATTTAGATAAGTCCGTGCTATAACTATAATAGCAGTTTTTTTACAAGGGGTTTAATAGACTTTCCATTTACCGGCAACACGGTGCATACTGCATATTCAGCCAATATAAACTACAGCAGAGTGGTTTTGCTCGCATTGTATTTAAAACGTTACCAATTTTTTGCTGGACGTTGCCTGACAAAACAGCTTTATGGTTTAAATCAAAGTATAGCTAATGTTAGATTAAACTGAACCCACTAGGCCTTCTGGTCCCATAGTGGTTTTAGAGAAGAATCAAGTTGTACACATTTACATCATCATTTAACTTTGATTTAACTTAACTCAAGTTTCGTGTTTCCGGCACAAATATTTGGGTATTCCTGGGTTAGTCGAGTGGTTGAAGTGCTCGCTTTTTAATTAGAAAGTACCAAATTCGAACTTCAGAGAACCAGAACTGGACCCAGCTGTCGCTCATCATTGAGCTTTCAATTAATTATCCCTGCCAAAGAAATTTGGACTTCATAACGAAGCTTCAAAACGCAAAGCACACTAAGTAACTTATACTATTGTGACTTTGAACCTTTGAATTAGAGTTAATAATTGCATGCATTTGAATAAACTCTTTTATTGAATGAAATATTTATAAACTGTAAATTGAAAAGGTAAACATTGAACTACATTGTTTTATGATTATAATAACAACATCTGATCATATAAAGTAAATGATATAGGAAGTTACTCTACTTGTATTCAGCTCAAAGCAAAAAATAACCATAACAAATCTATTTACAGTTTGATTCCCAGACTGCAATTTGTACATGGATTTAAAAATTCCTGTCAGCAGTTTCAGACACAAATAATTTAACTAATTAAATTAATTTATTAAAATCCATATCACTGATATCTGAAAACACACACAAAAACAAAACTATACTTGATTTTTCACTTAAGACAACATAACATTTCACGAGTATTTTAAAACCATGGCCGATTCGATGAGTTTGAGGTTATCTAGAATACATCTACGCATTTTGCACGACATAAAACGCATGCTCATTACTCTATTACTCAATGCTCAATCAGTGATGAACATAACAGCAGTAATAGCGGTAACAGCCAATCACAACTGATATTCTCTACAAGAGCTTCATGACGTCAGTGTCAGTATAAATCACGAATCCTAGAAAAATAAAGTAATCGTGGTATAAATGCACATGTAACATGTCGTAATGATAAGTCAATACTCTGTGGATGAATATTTTTTAAAGGCAAAATATTAATGCAAACGAGAAAATAATTATTAAATTAATTACTACACAACAGGTGGCCTTTGCTGAATATGACTGCAAGTTCACAGTAAGGTGATCTGTGTAGCTTCACAACTGACTAAAATCAGCTGTTATATTAGTCAGGGTCATTTATTAAAAGCCCAAAAAGGACAGCTGTGCCCAGTTTCAAACTATAAAAAACCAGTTGACTTATCTCAGGATCGAACAGGCGACCTCCTGATTATGAGGTTATCACTATAACCACTACCCAACACTTTTATCCGTAATATTTTAATAACATTACAAACACTAACTATCAACCTTCCCCCTCCACTGAGCCCCCTGACAAGTTTATATCAAATTTGCAATGACAACTAGACGTCGGACATCCAGCGATTCTTCCCAGCAAGGACAGACTAACATACGAGACACATTGATTACGTCTTCAAACATAATAATCATCCAATCGCAGCTGCAGGAAGTCCGTTCAGTTGTGGGTCAAGGTTTGTATTGTGCGGTTGTAATCATTCCATTCAAACGGTTATCTATCTGTGGACATCTCCGTCGCACTGGTGACCAAGAGCTTGGCTTTGTGTAACATCCTCTAAATGTGCAAGGTTCATTTGAAACATACGTTCGATGATCTGATTAAATCACAAATGATCAAACATATTGTATAATCCTTAGGGGTTATTGAATTAAAGTTACTTAAAATTGATGAATGACTCGGAACGGACCTCTCGTTCTATAGAACAATCTTAAACTGCCCAGGTTTGGACAACACAAGTTTGAGGTGTGTGTTATAAGTTAAAACTTTACGTAACAACAAAGCTTTTTTTGTTTCCTCTTCAAGTTATTAATGATTTCTTATCACACTCATTTATCTTAAAACTAGCTGGCCCGACAGACGTCGTCCTGTCCTATATGTGGTTTTATGTCAAATGTTCGTCCATTTTCAAGATGAGCTCGTTCGCATGGCTCAAACACGTCCTGGTCGAAGTTCGTTATCTACGCTCACTCACCTTTAGGTTGGAGCTCGTTCGCTACGCTAACTCGCCTCCAGGTTGAAGTTCGTTCGCTACGCTCACTCACCTTTTGGTTACAAATTAGCTGTTGTCATAAATTTAAAAAATAATACAGTAGTGTTGCACCCTGTTGGTAAATCTATTAACTTTTTATGCTATTGAACATCACAGAATCAAATTGTTTAGTTGAACAAGCTGTTAAGATTCTTTAATTCCATTTAAATATGAGTACTCATAAGGTTAACATGGGAAACTCCAGAGCCACTGGTGTGGAGCCCTTTTGACAGATCTGCACCAAACTTCACACAAACCATCCTTGAATAATGCTTATAATAATGCCTGAAAGTTTCATTACAATCTGTCGAGCGGTTTCGGAGTCCATAAAGGACAAACAAACAAACAAACATACAAACAAAATAAATTGGATTGTATATAGATAGATTTGCTATATTGTTTCTAAAATCAAAAATGCATTGCAAAATTTCTAGCACCAAAGTTTGGATTCCTTTTAAAGAAAATAACTTTTACTGCAAGAACTTTCGCGGAGAAAGGCAACCAGAGTCGAAGGTAGTAATTAAACATGGAATTTCTCAAACACACCTTTTTGTATGAAACAACTTCCAAGCCAATATCGTGTTAATCTACCCAGTCACTGTATTGATTGACAAACTGTAGAGAGTTTAGATGAAATAATTAGCTCATTGTATTGCCTATTATCCATCAAGCTATACCCACGGCTAGCATGCGGTAGGCGAACTTTCACTGCTTTATATTGCTGTACTGTTTATGTCTATAACTGACGCGAGCACGACCGTAGTCCATTAACTCAATGAGGTTTCATTAAGTTGAATATTGATATTTAAATGATTGTACAGTAGTCGCGAATTGTTCACGATAAACAAAATCTACAGTAGTAATGAATAGCAATGCGTATTGTGATGGTCCGGTAACCCCAGTTGTACAAATCAAACATTTCGTAAATCTGGTATCACAAACTGTTTTTATATCCTTTAAAACAGCATTGTTATACCAATGTTATATATCCTGCAGACAGAAATAACCCATGAAATGGAGGTTTGTAGAACGACATATGCCAACTAATTAAGAGTCTTCCTTAGTGGAAGCCATGTTGGATTTCTTCCCCATAAGAACAATGTTAAACATTACATCATTTGTGGACACGTAGCGGCGTTATTTGTTAAGATATAGCTTTGAAATTTATAATTTGTATTTTTAACATAATAGACTCGTGACTGAGGTTTTTGAATTTCGAAAATCCATTTTCATTTCCTTTCAATAATTAGCTTAATTTTAAGCTAATTAATAATCAATTATTCATTATAAAAATTAAAAATTGTGAAATAAAAAACGTCAATCTCTAGAGGACCGCAATTCCTTAAATTTAACTCCTTATCCATAATTATATGACAATTTGCTGATGAGATATTTGGACCCAAAGTTAACATTGTTCTTATGGGGAAGAAATCCAACATGGCTTCCACTACGGAAGACTCTTAAATTGTAATATTAAAGGATGAATAATCTGTAATGTATAAGCAGTTATATTAATTGTTAATATAATATTTGTAACTTTTTAGCGAATTTACCCATAGGGAAGTAGCCATTACCGTAGGTGGCACGGTAAGACCTAAACCCGGGACCGATTTACTTTTAGCGAATTTCCCATATAGGGAATAAGCTATTACCGTAGTACTCATGGTAAGACCTGGACGCGGGACCGATTTTTTTTTTCGTTTTGAGGTCCCTAGAGGCCAAAAACACCATCCGTTCAAATTCATATATATACATACATATATACATATGTATATACATACATACTTACTCTTACTTACTTACTCCTGTGGCCACACAAATCCAAGGAGATTTTTGGCATCGCCAACAAGGTGCCTCCATCTTTCTCTATCTTCTGCCTCGTCCAACTCTGCGCCCAGTCTTCCGATGTCTTCAGCAACCTGGTCATCCCATCTAAATCTCGGTCTCCCCAGTGGGCGTCTTCCTTCAGGCTTTCCCCTCCACACTCTTCTTATACTGCTGCCTTCTTCTCTTCTTCTAACATGCCCAAGCCATCTGACTCCCCTACTTCTAATTAAAGCTACAATATCAGGTCTTTTATAAAGGTCCCTTAACTCTTTATTCTTTCTAATCCTCCACGCCCCATCTTCCAAAGTTGGTCCGTATATTCTCCTCAGTATTTTATTCTCAAACGTTATTAATTTTCTCTCTATGTTCTTTGTGAGGGTCCATACTTCCGAACCGTAGAGAAGAACAGAAATATATATATATGTTTATATATATATATATACATATTGTGTGTGTGTCCTTCAGCACGATAACTCGAGCAAAAATTATCCGATTTTGATGAAATTTGCTACAAACGTGTAAACCTACGTTTATTCGAACGAGTTCGCGATCCAGCATGATCGGACCATGGGAACGGGAGTTTACGGGGGGTTTTATGTGGTAAAAATAGGGTTTTCCCATTTTTGACCCAAAAAACATAAAATTTAGCAATTTCTTTCCAAACCATTTTGTAGAGCTTAAAAAAACAAATAATTTAGTATATTGAAGCGTTATTATGCGCCTAATGGTTACGGAGAAAATTCCAAAAAATTTTAAATTTAAAATTCCCATGTTATTCTTATGGAGAATAAGTAAACTGTTGTAGTTTGCTTGTTTGTGAACATATTTTGATCAAATTTGGAAAATGTTTTTATTTCTTACTAACTATTCACATTTTACAAAAAAAAAACAGTTTTACCCTCCCTGATGCAGCAAACCTAAGTACTTGTTAAACTAATTCTATTTAAATCAAGAATAAATGTTATATTTTTAAGTAGACATTTCAGTGTAAATCCAATCAGTCAAATGGAAATTCGCTTAGTCTGCAGGTTTGCTGCGACGGGGGTATTTAATTTTGACGTCCCCAGTGGCCAAAAACACCAGTTGTTCAAATTTATATACATAGAAGAAAATTGGGGGTTTTTATTGAAATATTCATAGCTTAGTATGAAGTAAACAAAATTTCATTAAAATATGTCCATAGATAAGCAAGCTTACAACAGTGTATTTATTCTCCATAAGAAAAACATGGTAATTTTAAATTTACACTATTTTGGGATTTGTTCCGTAACTGTTAGGCATACAACAATGCTTCAGTAAAAGAGCTCGTGCGTTTCCTGGTAAAGCCTGGGGGTAGGGTTGAAGCCCATACAAAACCGGTTCAGAGCCACTATAACCACCTACCCCCAGGCTTCACCAGGAAACGCACGAGAGAGAATTATTTTTTTTAGTTCTACAAAATGGTTTGGAAATAAATTTCAAAATTTTATGTTTTCAGGGCGAAAATTGAGAAAACCCCATTTTTACCCCATAAACCCCTGTTCCCATAGTCCGATCATGCTGGTTCGTGAACTCGTTTGACTAAATGTAGGTTTACACGTTTATACCGAATTTCATCGAAATCGGATCATTTTTGTTCGAGTTATCGCGCTAAGAGACATACTGTATATAAATAAAGTAAATAAATATATAATATATATGAATTTGAGCGGATGGTTTTTTTTGGCCTCTGGGGACCTCAAAACAAAAAAGTGAATCGGTCTCGGGTCCATGTCTTACCATGAGTACTACGGTAATAGCTTATTTCCTATATGGGAAATTCTCTAAAACATGGAAAATTTATTTATCTTATACTGTACCTACTAAGCTATTAATATTTTACTAGAAAACATACTTTATTAATTTCCTTGTAGCAGAAAACCTAGATACTCGTTAAACCAACGCTATTTAAATATATTAAATTGAAAATTAATTCAGACACAAATTTTGGTGATCGGATTGATAACAGCCCATGATAAACCCATGACTTCAGGACGAGGACAGAACTTCCCAACTACACTAGCTGTTCTCTTCCAATGTAACTGAAATGGGACAACAATATACGATGTCCTTGCTTATCTAGGACAATTATTGTTGCTTCAGAATTTACTGGCTGAGCGCTCATTCACATTTCGCCGAGTCTGGTAGGTTAGGTTGTTTGAATGGAACAACTTCCCCAGCACCCCTCCCTTCAGGGGCGGATACCGATAATCACCCGAGGTCACGGCGAAGAACCGACCGCTCCAGGAAAGCGGTTCTTCACTCAAAGAAAGTGAACAATCACAAAAAATGTAAACCCGTAACAGCCGGAAAGTGAAGTAACCCTGACTTTCTAAATCCTGTTTAGTTTATTCCCAGTGCGATCGGAAATTTGGCAGATGGTTCGCTAGAAGAAATTCAACTCAGGTTCCACAGTTGTGGCGTCTGGCAGGGAGTGTACATATGCGATGGCTGGGTGAATGGTGGACGAGCTTTGCTCAAAATATACTAGAAAACCACAGCCTCCCTAATGTTGTGGTGTTTCAATACAATCTATCTATCTATAGTATATTACTAGGCAAGCATGTTTCTTTAAAACCTTTTTTCTCAGCTCGTGTGCATCGCAGGGAAAAATCTACGCATACTGTTGGAAAGATATTTACCTGTAGATGTGCAGAATCCCTTTATAAATTAAAATAGGCTAAAAATAAGCATAACAAATGATTCTAAAACTTTTTTAAATTAACATGGATCTTCTGGGTAGCCATGCTGGTAACGAAATATAAACAGAAAATCAAAACTAATGGAAGAAACTCCAATCACATGTTTTATTCACAGTGTGGGATGAAAATAAAGAAGTCTGTACATTAAATATTATTTTTGGTCGAGTTTCGACCACTGGACGACCTCTAGTATGTATTAAAGGCTACTCACAGTAATCTCTGACTACAAAATATGACATAATGTCAAATATTCACCAGTATGTCTAGATGTCTTGTGTACTAAATACCCCCGCCGCAGCAAACCTGCCGACTAAGCGAATTTCCATTTGTCTGAATTGATTTTCAGTTAAATATATTTTAATAACATTAGGTTAAACGAGTACCTAGGTTTGTTGCTACAAGGAAACTAATAAAGTGTGTTTTTGAGTAAAATATTGATAGCTTAGTACAAAATAAATAAATTTGCCAAGTTTGATCAAAATATATCCATAAACAAGTAAACTACAACATTTGACAATATTCTCCATAAGAATAACATGGGAATTTTAAATTTACAATTTTTTTAATTTTCTCCGTTACTAATAATCGAACAAAAATACTTTTATATACTAAATTATTTGTTTTTTAAGCTCTTTAAAAAGGTCTAAAGAGAAATCGGGAAATTTTTTGTTTTGAGGGTCAAAAGTAAAAAAACCAATTTTTACCCCATAAACCCCCCGTAAAGCCCCCGTTCCCATGGTCCGATCGTGCTGGTTCGCGAACTCATTCAAGTTTATCCCGCTTTACACCTTTAAACCAAATTTCATCAAAATCGGACAAAAATTACTCAAGTTATCGCGTTCACGGACGTATAAGACATAAGACATAAGACATTTATTCATAATTTTTTACATATGTATGTTAAGATATATATATATATATATACATATATAAAAATTTTAACGAATTGTGTTTTTGGTCTCTGGGGACATCAAAATGAAAAAGTAAATCGGTCCCGGGTCTAGGTCTTACCGTGCCACCTACGGTAATAGCTACTTCCCTATAGGGGAATTCGCTAAAAAAAAGCTGATTATTTAATGATTAATTTATACCAGTTGGATTACCAGTTCTAAAATTAGCAGTAAAGCCGTAAAGCATATTTTTCAACCAATTCAACCTCCGGCAACCCATTAATTTCTTAGTACAGTAGGATATTTTCGTTATACTGAAAAAAAATATTCTGATCATTTTCTGCTGTATCGTTGAACATGGCGAACTCGATAAACTATAATTTTCTTCAAATGAATATTCAGAAGCGTGTGAGGATGTAAATTTAATGCTGAAACAGCAATACAAGCTACAACTGTTTGAACTGTCAACAAAATGTAGAGAACATTTTTTAGCAAATATTGTTTGAATTAGTATAATTAAGTTTGAATGGTTCGGTACAAGACAGTCAATGGTACAAGACAAGAAATTTACAATTTTGTAACAATACAAGTAGATTAATTTTTAATGTAAGAGTAAACTATTATTAATACCACTACCGTTATAACTCTCCATGTAGTAATGTGACACGGTTCCGTTCTACCATGAGTATGATTCTGTAGTAGCTTTACTTCTAAAATTAAGCTTAGATGAACATAATTTTCAGAATTCTTAATATATACAGGGTGGCTGAAAAGTAACTTACACCCCCACTTAACTTTTCAACCATTTGAGATGTTTGAAATCTGTTTGTGGCAACCTTCTTAGCTATGAGGGCTACAATAATTATGGTCAATTGCCCTTAGTAGTGGGGAGCTCAACATTTTCAAATCACAAGTATAGTCGAGTTTTGTATCATTTTACAGGTCTTGATGAAACATAAAAATTGACATAAAGAAAACCAAAATTGGCCCACTAATAACAAAATGGCAACCTAAAACGTCCAAATAATCATGGGTGGCTGAAAATTAAAATTAAACTGACCATAATTATTGTAGCCCTTCATATCCAAACAAGTTACTACAAACCGATTTCAAATATATCAATAGTTAAAAAGTTAAAGGGGGTGCAAGTTAATTTTCAGCCACCCTCATGGTTATTTGGATTTGAAACGTTTTAGGGCGCCATTTTGTTATGAGTGGGCCAATTTTGGTTCTCTTTATGTCAATTTTTATGTTTTGTCAAGACCTGTAAAATGATATCAAACTCGACTATACTTGCTGTTTGAAAATTTTGAGCTACCCCTGAGGGAAAAATTAAAAAAAAACTGACCACAATTGTTGTAGCCCTTCATATTCAAACAAGTTGCTGCAGACAGATTTCAAATATCTTATGATATATATGGTTGAAAAGATAAGGGGGGGTGTAAGTTACTTTTCAGCCACCCTGTATGTAATATGTACCATCCGAACCATTCGGAAGATTGAATTACTCTATTTAGGTTATTAACTATGAGTACCATGGAGATGGGAGATAATGTATAGGATACAAAGTGTGTTTAAGAATGTAGCCTTATTGACAGGCTAACTGCCAAGATCAGTAGCCTACTTTGTATAAAACATCAATATGATAAATGTAGAAAAATGAAAGATGGGTTTCAGTTCCAACCACATTTCACTACGTGACTTAATACAAAAATGATAGTTGTTTAGTTTGGTGTAAATGTAACGATTCATTTCATTGTCTACCCCCATATGGGTAGACTTAGCAGAGAACCTATGATATATTATGGGATGAATAACGATATATATTGAAACTTTTGTATGGTTCAATATATTGATTATAGAATAATTTATTTTTCTATGTAACCATTGATCTCAAAATTGTTTTGTTTACGTTGTTGATATTTAATAAATAGGACTATGAATTTAAAAGACTCATGGGAAAAAAGTTACTTTGATCTAATTGAAAATTTCAAAATGGCCGCCATATTTTTTTTTTAATTTAAATTACTACAAAATTGCAGGTTTTATGAAAAAAATGTCAAGAACTCTTTTATTTATCAATTAAACTCCCCTATCAAATGACACCAAGTTTAAGTATATTCAATAACAAATAACTAAACAAATCACGATTATTAGTAGTTGCAAAATCGGGTAGAATTAAGTTTAACTATTGAGGTTTGCCTAAGTGTGGCTCTGACTTGTAGAGGGCAGTTGCCGCGACCTTATGATAAGGCTGCCTTAGCTGATGGCAACAGCCTTGGTTTTGGTCCCTAATTTTCCTTGGTGGTACCGTAACCACAATTTTTTAAATTTTGTTTTCCTATGTGATTGGTATTGTTTATATTTTTTTGTAAGGGTACGATCCAAACCCTGGTGTTTTAATACTTAATACTACTTTTCATTGAAATGGTGACCATACAAAGTAGGTATTTTAAGCCAAGTATGAATGGAGATTGTTACTGTCTAGCATCGACATAGAACCAACAACAAATTTAATCTAAAAACACTGTATTATCTATATATTAATTTGAAACTGTTTTTCTTTGTGACAGCTAATTTGAGAGAACGGCTGGGCGTAGAAACTCGGTAGGGGTGTCTAAAGAAAGGCCTTGGTCTGTAGATGAGCCATCAAAAGAGAAACGTGGTAAATTGCCTCGGGGCTCTACCCCAGTGGCCTTAAAAATTCCCATCCCATGTTATTCTTATGGAGGAAAAATGGGGGTTTTGTCACAGCTAATTTGAGAGAACGGCTGAGTGTAAAAACTTGGTAGGGGTGTCTAAAGAAAGGTGTTGGTCTGTAGGTGAGCCCTCAAAAGAGAAACGAGGTAAATTTTCTTGGGGCTCTGCCCCAGAGGCCTTTAAAGTTCACTCAGCAGTTTTGTTTACATTACGACCATATGGATAATTTTACACTACTTTTAATGAACCAGCTGTTAATATTAAAATTGTATTCAAAGGTCTACTGAAACTGTCAAAATTAAATGTTTACACATTATTATTTATGATTTTAATTGATTCTCCACTGCATGGCAAGTTTTTTATAGTTTCAACAAAATTATGAATTTATGATACGTTTTAAATGTTTTGTTGAATAATCTATGCTTTATTGCTCTTTAAAATTTGAAATTATGAAATCTGTGCGACCTATTAATTTTAAAGGAACATATAATTATTCCTTATCGGGTTAGCTTATACACATTGTAAGGTTCAAGAATATTATTGAATTCAAGAAAGAAGACCAGAAATTCATTTTTTGGTATAATAGTTTTCGATAATCGGGTGGAAAATTGTGTCATAGATAGGTACGTTGAGAATGAGAGCTGTGTTCAAGTTTTGCAATAGACTAACTACGGAGTATGTTTCATCCATGGTTTTGGTGAAGTAGGTAAATTAGTGTCAATTCAGGTATTTAAAAAAATGTGTACAGGGTTTTTACTTTGAAGTACACATCTAGCTAGGTCGAACAACGTATCTAAACCTCACTACATACATACAAAACATTCGGAAACACAACAGTGCCATCACATCTTATCGCATTTGCAAAATTTGTTACCAAGGCTGGACTAGGTTATGGATTTGGTTCCCCAAATGTTCATGATTTGTGGTCAAATTTCCTACAATTATGGTTCATTCCATCCACGAAATACATGCACAGCTTTATGTGATCGATATGGCCATTGCAAAACTATCCCATAAGTTAATCAGTTAGCAAGTAAGTACAGGTTGATTAAATACATGGGTCGATGTGGCAAGAGAAGGAATTAAAATCGCTTGGATCGAAGTAAGAATGTTACTGCTTTCTGGAGAATCAGATATTTTTATCAAATACAAAAAATAAAAAGATTTAATATGCCTCCCGTTGATAAAATTCAGTTTTTTTATGACCAAAGATGGTGATTTATCACTTATACAATCCAAAATATGATCTGAATGATTTTCCCAAAACAGATGGAACAAGCCATTTTAGTAATATTGACTCTTTCCGTCATATGACAGACCAATTATATGAACTCCTTTCCCCATATAGTGAAAGAGGCTTTAACATGAACAAGTCATGAACAAGAAACAATAGTAAGACTCATGAAAAGCCTTTTCGGCAACCTAAAGCCGTTGATGTAAGGACAGAAAATATTGAATTCAACGAATTCATCAACCACGCTTTTTAAGGTTCACTATCGTCTTAGGTACTCATAATTATGTTTATCCTCCCTAAGATTTTAATAACTTTGCTCGATCCATCACAGTTAGCTGAATTATGTAAAACCTCAAGAGTAACCGTCGATTTCGACGAGATTCACCTAGTTGTTATTTTATTTCAATAAACACATTTCTTCTTCTTCTTCTAACAAATTTAATAGCAAATTGGGTCTAGAATTGATAAATTTGAATTGAACCAGATTTTTATGACCACTCGGATAACCAGATAATTTACCACGTCTTGGTCCATCAGCTGAGTTGGAAAAGGAAACAAAACACAGTTTAAACAAGTTTTTTATGTATAAATTATGACGTACATCTTTTTATTTGCTTAATACAATAACTTATTTCCACAAAAATACTTATTTTAAGGAAAACCCTTAAGCTTCTAATCCAACAATAATTAACTAACAATACTGTTATCAAAATTACCTATTATTTAAAGTAGTATTTACCACCTACAGCAGTTATTGTTATAAAACTGGACATAATTTAAACTTTACAATAAAGCCTGGTGTGAGCAAAGAGTTCGTACAAAAAGTGCATGAAACACACAACATAAAACACATAAACATTAGGTTTTAAACAAATTTGTTCAAATTTAAACATTAAGCACACAACATAAAACACATAAACGTTAGGTTTTAAACAAATTTGTTCAAATTTAAACATTAAGCACATAACAACACAACATAAAAGCTTGTAATCGAACAAATTAACTAACCGTACTGTATTCAAAATTCACGGTAGTATTCACTACCTACAGCAGTTAGAAAGTGGTAGTTATTAAACTTATCAATATTGAAATTTCACTTAGAATCCAGGTTGAGCAAAGATTCTATCCAACAAGTGTAGGCCTAAGAATCAAAATGTGTGAGAGTGGTTCACAGGATCACAGTATCACTGCTTATGGCTATCAAGAATTTGAGACCTTTCCTAGCAGCAGAATGTAAGGCTTGCTTTTCATTTAAACCTGATCCGTCAAATGTGAAAGGGGGTACAGTGTTAATTTCTATCATCAAGATTTCTAGAACAAAAATACACAAATTAACACAAAATCATCTTAGTTAAAATATAAAATAAACACTGAAAACTGCAACTTCTCGGGTTAATATAATAACTGCAAATATGTCAAACAAAGTAGGTATGGAACACTTTTCTTTTATACTTTTGATCAAATATTAGGAGCTAAAAAAATCTTGAATAGTGATGTAGTGAAAGTGAATGTAGTGATAGTGATAGTGATAGGTAGTGATAGTGTTGAATGTAGTGATAGTGAATCCAGTATCTAACAAATAAACTACCTATAAACTTGTTAACAATTTAGGGAATCACAGAACTGTAGGGGGAAAATCGTAGACAGAGGCGGCCCTACATAAAGGCGAACAAGGCGGTGCCTAGGGAACCCACACAGCCATATTTCAGGTATTCAGAGAGGCACGCTATTGAACTTTGCCTTGGGCCCCGGAATCCCATAGAACGTAGCTCTACAATAGGCTACATATTTTTTGAGCTTGCAAAAACACTATGTTGTGTTTTATAGAAGTCACCCGTGGTCGAAAACTCAACCAAAAATATGTATTGTGCAAACTTCTCTATTTTTATCCCACGCTGTAAATAAAACATGTGGTTGGAATTTCTTTAATTTGTTTTGATTTTCTGTTTGTATCTTTTGTTGTTATTTCATCACCAGCATGGCAACCCATAAGGCTCATGGTTATTTACTCATATAAAGGGATTCTGCAAATCTACAGACAAGTATCTTTCTAAGAGTATATGTAGATTATCCCTGTAATGCACACAGGCTGAGAAAAAAAGGTTTTCAAGAAACATGAGGACTCTTGTTGTGACCTGGTAGTGAATGTGTTAAGGGAAATTCCCCTCCCCCACTTTTTTGTATTAAATAAAATGTTATTTAATCAGCTATTGAGCTATTGTTTTATAGGTAAGGATCAAGTAGATTTCTTCCCTTAAAACCGCCTAAATATTGTGAACAAAGTATAACTGAATCCCACTATCCTATCCTATACTCTAAAACAAGCGTGTGTAGGCTACTGTGTACGGGCAAACTTGGATATTTGATTTTCTTTTTAATATGGGGTATTTGGCCACGAGAAATTGATTGGAGTGGGTAACAACTGGCAAAAATCCAGTTTCCGTCCAACAGCCCTTTAAAGTTCCCATGTTATCGTCAATACCGTTTTTAGCTGAGTTAACCAACAGTTAACAGCTGATTCAGGTTATTTTTACAGTCATAATTTATTTTGATTTGATGTGTAAACAAATTGGTTGGTTTGGACTAACAATTTTAAAGAATAGTTATATTTAGTATGGTTTACTAGGTACATTAGTGTTAAATATTTTGAAGATTAAAATGAAACGCAGAAGACCTCAGAAGCGAAAATATATACATAATTTGCAAGGATGAGAAGCTATACTATCGATTGTCATTAAACAAATTTAGCCTCTTTGTCTGGGTGATCATCTTGAGCAAGAGCGTCAACGAATTTCTGCTCGACGTTTGGAAAAACGTCACCAGAATGCAACTTCTCAATTCTATTAAGTTGCCACGTCAGTGGATTAGAATATTCACAATTAGGTCAGTTGCACGTGGCATGCATGCACTGTGGAGCCATATATCTCCATGAAGACGTGTGTGAATCAGTAACGGCAGAGATTCAAGATTCATTCGGTGATTGCTGTCTACACAGGAGATACAAATACACGCCATGATTCCGGTAAATATGTATTGTGTTTGTTTTATGAATATTGGTATATTTATTTGAATCATATACAATGTTTTCACATTCATTAAATAATAACTCATTTTTACTTTAGTTAATTCACTTGTCTAATGTTTAATTCAATCCAAGCAAAGCTCGGTGTCCTGGTACTGTTAACTAAAAAACAAGCTCAGTTTACTAATTACATAAGTTGTGATTAAACTCAAAATGTTGTTTGGTTTGGATGAATAGGAATTTTAAAATGATTGATAAATTACAGACAAATACCATTATCATTTCAATCAACCAACATTTTAGGACATTACAGTAGAGTTCCCAAAAGTGGATTGTGGATTTTGCATGAGTGATTATTATTTAATTTAAAGATAATATTAATTGAAATTACAAAAAAAATATCTAAAAAATTTTTACATTTAATATATCTTATCTAAGACTTGTATGGTATAATAAATATATTTACACTTACTACGGTAAATACATAAAAGATGGTAAGTGGGGATCGATTCTGATTGGACAGTCCAATCATCATGAGACCCAATAGGTGAATGACAAGAGCCCAAGTTTTTTGTTGTTAATTATTGTTAAACGTTTGATGAAATGTTAATGTGACCATAAAACGGTTTTAAAACAAGTTTTAATAATCAACATGCAAACAGCTTATAATTTAAATGATGCAGCAACAGTTTCCAGCTAGAGTCATTCTTTAAATAGATAATTACCATTTAAATTTATGTAGTAGGTAACTTACAAAAAGTACACCCAAAATATTGCTCAAAACTGGTTTTGGCATTCCTTATGTTGTTTGCAAACAAGTTAGGCCAGGTCAAGAAATAGAAAGCCAAAGGCATTCTCACAAGTTCAATGAATACAGAATAAACAGTAAAATCTAGACTTGTGCTCTAGTTTTCCCGGAGTAGACAGTGTAAATTGGCACATTATGGCCATTATTATTGACAAAATACAAACAGACAAAAATTGATATAAGATTAGTTTTAGCGCCCTTAGGCCATGAAACATAAAAATACCCAGAAGACTTCATGAGTCTATGCAATGTAGAGAGGAAACTATAATTTTGCATGGATATTAAATGGTACAAATTTTACTTCAAAATCCTAATTCTGGAATGAACATGGAAAAATATCTTACTAGTATGGGCGTTATGGCCTTTAAACTTGGGATCAATGGGCACTTGTACTATTTTGTATCTAATGCTCAACTCTTCCAATATTTTATAAAATGTGTCTACGCTGCATTCTTCAGGCAGCACATTTCCATGTTTTACAGCGTTGCTCTGAAACAAAGTTAAAATAAAAAGGATACTGCAAAAATTGTTCTACTTTTATATAGGTACCACAACTAACTAATATTTACAGACAGGTGCAGGAATAGGGTAACACAAGCTGCTATACCCGTGCTTTGCAACGGGAGGAAAATGTGACCTAGAGAGCTATTAAAGTGGTGCTGATGTACGTTTTAAAATACAGCAACTCTATGGTTTAGTTTGAAAATATAAACTGATTTAAAAGCGTAAACCTACTTACTTTCAAACCCCTACTTTTGATGTTAATAGATCCATAAGAATATGACAACATACATTAATGTAGCAATAGCAATAATAGCATCAATTGCTTCATATTGATGATTCATGAATGACATGTTTTACAATAATTCTTCAATAGTCAAGCCTCTTCACATGTAGCTTACTATATAAATTAAAAAATAAAACATTGAGTAATACTTTACAAAACGTATACAACCTCACTTTAAAACCAAACATAACCCTTCTCAATCTACATAAAGCATCACAAACATCTTTTTCGAGTAAATAAACAAACACCAGTTCATTGTACTGACCAGCTGTTTCATTAACTAAATTAAATTAAATCATTTAAACATTGGAAGCATGCCAGGCGTAGCCTTTTGGAAATCAACCTGTGGGGCAGAGCCCTTAGGAAGTTCGCCCATATCAATACTTTTCGGCAAATCTACACACTCTAAGCTTCATTTTGATGTGCCATATGCCTATATTTTTATTTGGTAAATGGCCTTAACCATTTACATATAATTTGATTGTATCACTTTAATAATATAATAGATTTTACTTCAAATATTGGCAGTCAAAGATTGTGATAAAAAACTTATTACCGTATATTATTAACTGTTTAACTCTATTTCATAACATCACATTCATCTAGATTGTTAAATATCCATATTCGGCTTAAACCTCCCACAGAGTCGTAGAAAAGCAATCATATATTTTGATGAATTGGTATTTATTTAGAAATACTTTAATTGCCTTAAGATAAATACTTAGGTCCAGGTTATAACAGAGGGAAATTTAAAAACTTGATTTAGAGGTAGGGAGCAATTCACAGCCAAAATTTTGTAGTAATTTTTAAATGTTTACCACGAAAAGTAGAGGAAAATGTGTATATTCAACTCAAGGCCACCAAGGATGGCTAGCAGGTGCCTATACATATTTACTCGCAACACTGTCTACAAAGAGTTTATCCAATAAGAAGATGTATCATGTCAATTTTTGAATGACTTCTCCTTAAACATCACGCTTATATAAAAGTCGATACACACAATACGTGTGGTGCACGCATGGCTCATGTACACGCACAAGGCACCATTTTCAAAGCAACTAAAATCCAAATTTTGCTGTACAAAACCAAACTAAATGCAAAAGAATCATTTGGGGACAAACATAGAAAATATTTTAATAGATCAAAGAAAAAAAAAATGGCAAAGATGGCATGTAAATAGCGAGAGCAATCAGGCCTTCCCCCACCTCCACCTTTATACAACCAACAAAACTCCATTTTGGTCAGAATTTAAAGGGCTATAACATACCGGTACCTACTTAAGTTTTATCAAAATTGTTCATTTTTGAAAAAAATTGATTGTTCTGTTATTTTATAGAACAATCACCATAACAAATCAATACCCCCGCCGCAGCAAACCTGCAGACTAAGCAAATTTCCATTTGCCTTATTAGATTTACACTAAAATGTCTCCTTAAAAATATCACATTTATTCCCTTTAAATAGCATTAGTTTAACGACTACTTAGGTTTGCTGCAACAGGGAGGGTAAAAAGTTAGTTTTTTTTGTAAAATGTTAATAGTTTAGTATGAAATGAATGCATTTTCCAAATTTGGGCAAAATATGTTAATAAACAAGCAAACTACAACAGTTTCTCCATAAGAATAACATGGGAATTTTAAATTAACAATTTTTTGGAATTTTCTCCGTAACCATTAGACGCATTATAACGCTTCAATATACTAAATTATTTGTTTTTTTGAGCTCTACAAAATAGTTTGGAAAGAAATTGCAAAATTTTATGTTTTTTGGGTCAAAAATTGGAAAAACCCATTTTTACCCCATAAAAGCCCCCATAAACCCCCGTTCCCATGGTCCGATCATGCTGGTTCGCGAACTCGTTCGAATAAACGTAGGTTTACACGTTTGTACCAAATTTCATCAAAATCGGATCATTTTTGCTCGAGTTATCGCGCTAACGGACACATATATAAATATAAATATATATATAAATAAATATATACATATGAATTTGAACGGATGGTGTTTTTGGTCTCTAGGGATCTCAAAACGAAAAAAAAAAATCGGTCCCGGGTCCAGGTCTTACCATGAGTACTACGGTAATAGCTTATTCCCTATATGGGAAATTCGCTAAAACTTGAAAAAAGTGAGAAAAAATGCCTGGAGATACCATGGATTAGTACCTACATACCAAATTTAATCAAAATCGGACTGTACACATCCACACATACAGACACACACACACAGACATCACTTCTAAAACCACTTTTTTGGGTCCATAACGGATATTCACTCAAAACTCAATATAAAAAAAATTGACTAAAACAATACTTTCTCCATATACTATTGTATAGGGGGGGGGAAGTAAAAAGGGCTCTAGGTCTGGGTCTTTTTGTGCCATCCACGTAAATAGTTAGGCCTATTGTAATTACCTATCGGGGAAGTTAAATATTATCATAAACTATTGGAATACTTATTATCTACTCTGTGTAAACCAACTGAAGTCAAAAACTTTCTGAAAAGTCTACTAGGTACCTACTTACATTTATAAGGGCGTTAAGAGTGGGAGATTTCTTGGGTAACTCATTGGCTTTACCCCACATGTGTAACTCACTAATTTTTATGTTGTTCGTGGCATGTTTTCTCCTTCTATCTGATTTAGACCAAAAGTTTTCAAAGTCTTCTTTTGATGCCATCTTGTCTGTAAAACAGAACAAATAATTATCCTAATACCCTTTATAAGCAAACTTTAGCCTAATAGGCCCAATTATAACTTAAATTCATCAAGAACTATATATTTCAAATTTAATCATAAAATATTATTTTATTACATCAAATTCATTGAAATCATTTGGCATCTTTCTTTGGACATTATCAGATTACAATAGCATAACAAACCTAGCCTATTCCAGAACAATAAAAAAATTATCTGCATTTAAGTTAAAGCCTAATACAGTATACCATTCGAACCGGCAAGACCACCCCTCCCTGAGATCAAAGAGCTTAGGCCTATCTCTATCTATACTATTATATAAAAATCTATATCTACATCTATCTATCTATATCTATCTATATCTATATCTATATTCTATATATATTATATAAAAATCTAATGGTGTCTGTCTGTATGTGTATTACTAATAGGTGCAAAAACTACTGAACCAACTGGGCTTAAATTATACAAAAATATAGCTACCATACCAAGGACCATTATAGGACTATTCACATTTCGATACTGATTGTAGGCTTTGCCCCTTTGGCTTTAAAAGTTCTGAGGTGAACATTTTAAAAGTAAATATTGATTGGTCTCCATGGCTGTGATGAGAACACTAACAATGTTTGTTTTTCATTTGCTTTGACATTTAAATGTAAACAAGAAGAACTGCTAAACTGCATATTTCACAATTTCAGACAGCTGATACAAAGAAATTAAATATAATATTTTCCATAACTATGAGGTAGGTTTATTGTAATCTAACCTTTTATCATGGATTATTTATTATAAAACTACTGTATGTCAATAATTATAGAAAAAAAATTCTATAACCGTTGCTGTATCAACTATGGCTCTGCTTTGGATTTTTTAAAGCGTCTAAGTTATGAAAATAATGTTATTGATATGTTTTCATGGAAACAGTATTAAAATTACAAAGTAAAGATGTTTTATATGAATTTGGAGGCTACTTTAAATAAATTCTAACTGCTTAACATGTGTTAGATTAACTTAACATAACTTGCACATCACATTGTTTTTTATATGTATATCTAAATATATAAAAGGCAAAGCCCTCACTGACTGACTCACTCACTCATCACTAATTCTCCCACTTCCCATTTACCTAGGAGGCTGAAATTGGGTACACCGATTCTTTGGGCATTAAATAGGAAAATTAATTAGTTTTTATTCTGATCGAGCTTTCGGGCTCCGCCCCAGTGGCTCTGGAGTTTCCCATGTTAACCTTATGAGTACTCATATTTAAATGGAATGAATGAATCTTAACAGCTGTTTCAATTAAACAAGTTGGCTCTGTTCTACGATGTTCAATAGCATTAAAGTTACAAGGATTACCAACAGGGTGCAGCACTATTATTTCTTTTACATTTATGACAACAGCTAATTTGCAACCAAAAGATGAGTGAGCGTAGCGAACGAACTTCAACCAGGACGTGATTGAGCCATGCGAATGAGCTCACTTGTGAAGTTAAACGGGGCAAAGCCCGCGGGTACAGCTAGTCTATATATAAAGCCAAAAGTACCCATGAACTTTTGAGGAAACTACAAGTCACACCCCCATAAACCATATACTTAAAATGTTCATCATGACGAGAAAACTTGCGCAAAATTATCCATTATTTCTTTAATTGCCCTATAAGGTCGTAATTGCTTTCCAAAGGGAACTTTCCATATACCTAATGTTAAAAATACCTCAGCTGTAAGTATGTTTTGTTTATTTCAGCTAAGCCTAAAGGCCTTTTCACACCGGCGTACTGGACGTACTGTACGATTGGTACGTATTTTTTCAACAAATCGGTGCCCATGTTATCATATGAGCTCGTTCACATCGCGCGTACAGAACGTACTGTACGTCCAGTACGTACGCGATGGTTTTGTGTGAATCGCTCATAGAGCGATATTTCTAAAACGTACGTGGCGTACATGGGCTCGCGCATGCGCAGTGAACACTTCCAAACCACGTGCTCAGCCAGTATTACTTATCTGACTGCAACCGAACAAGTACGTTTTGGAAGTTTCTGTGCGGTGTGAAAGGACCGCGTACAGTACGTCCAGTACGCCGGTGTGAAAAGGCCTTAACCAATCAACAATTTTATTAATACTTATGAAGTCAAACGGGGTGAAGCCCGTGGGTAACAACTAGTTTAGGTAAATTAAGTTATTGTGTTTTGCTTGATGCTTAAATTAAACTAAAGAATATCATCAATTACTAAATTGTACGTTAATTTTTGTTTTCTAAAATCTGTTGTATATATGTAACTATATTTAATTATCAAATGCTAATACAAAATACTCTTATTTTATCTTAATCCTAGGTTTCAGTTCACATTTACTTTATTTGATACATTTATTATTTGTGTTTTGCCACACCACTGATTAAATTATAACCAAGGAAAATATCATAAAACTAAGCAGTACACAGTGTTTTTTGTTTCTAAAATCAATGAAATATCTATTACTATGTTTACTTAATGGTAAGTGTGAAAATGAAAAGGCAATGGACGATGGAACTAATTAAAAGAACAAGTTTGTATATTAAGTTGTTTGTTGATATTTTTGTAGAGTAGAATCAGAGATGCAATGAATGAAACATTTACTGTATTTGCTATTAAATTTTTTAGTCCTTGATGCTTTTATAATCATATTAGTTTTGTCTGCTGTCTTTAATGCTAAATTATTTGTTAAAAATTTTTTACAGTACCTATAGATATAGTTTCTTCAAAATATTTCAAAAAACTGTATTGATAAGGCACAGCAATATTTTTAAAGTTTATAACAGCGGACTTAGTTTTGATAATGATTTATTGTGAGTAAAGAAACTAAAGATGGAAGGATTTGTGATTTAATATAAAGAAGAGTGTAATTTTAAAAAATGTTCATTTAAATTTAATAATTAGTATTTTTGCAGCTTCAAAATTGAAATTTTAAATGTCAATAATAAATTAAAAGATATGTAAGATGAAGGTACCTAAATCATGTATGTCAATGTTTCATTCGAAGATTTGTTAAGTTTTTCTCATATCAGCCTACACAAGATTTAAAATTAATCAAAACCAAAATGGTGATATCCACTACTTACCAGATTTAAAAGTCATATAACTTAAACGTTTCTATTTAGGCTATAAAAGTTGAATTTTGTTTCTAAAAGCGTTGGCAGATGTGTAACTATTACATGCAACAGATGTAAAGATTAAAATGTTTCTATTCTGTGTCCTCTTCCTGTTGCAAAGCACGGGTACAACAGCTAGTATTAGCTAGTATTATATATTTACTAGCTGTTGTACCCGTGCTTTGCAACGGGAAGAGGAAACAAAATAGAAACATTTTAATCTTTATGTCTTGCATATAATAGTTACACATCCGCCAACGCTTTTAGAAACAAAATTCAACTTTTATGGCCTTAATAGAAACGTTTAAGTTATGACTTTTAAATCTGGTAAGTAGTTGATACCACCATTTTGGTTTTGATTAATCTTGTGTAGGCTGATATGAGAAAAACTTACCAAATCTTTGAGTAAAACTTTGACATACATTATTTACCAGATTTACCTTAGTCTCCCTTAGTTACACATCTTTTAATTTATTATTGACATTTTAAATTTCAATTTTGAAGTTGCAAAAATACTAATTATTAAATTTAAATATCTTTATATTAAACTCTTCCTTATATTAAATTACAAATCCTTTCATCTTCAGTTATTTCACTCCCAATAAATCATTAGCAAAACTAAGTCAGCTGTCATAAACTTTAGAAATATTGCTGTGCCTTATCAATACAGTCTTTTGAAATATTAAAGAAACTATATCTATAGGTACTATAAAAAATTCCAAACAAATAATTTAGCATTAAAGACAGCAGACAAAACTAATATGATTACCAAAGCATCAAGGACTAAAAAATGTAATAGCAAATACGCCCCTATTAGACGAGGTAGCCTGGCGACGTCGCCAGTGACCAAACTGGCTACTCAGCTTGTCATGCATGGGTCATTGATTCTTATGGATGTTATTACACGAGGGCAGCCAGCGACGCAGCCACACTTTGGCGACTGACTGGCTACCGAGCCCCGTCGCCACTGCGGTAGCCACTGGCTACCCACATTGGCGATGCTGCGTTGTAGCATATGGAGCTTATTACACTAGGTCGCCAGTATCACGTCGCCACTCGGTCAGTTCATAACACGGGGGTACTTGCACACTGTTGTGTTGCGTTCTGTTGTGTTGTGAGTGGGTGAATTGTTCACTTCAGTTGATAAAATGTCTACATCTGTATTGGATATGTCTATATGGAATCTATGGAAAATGTCAGTCTATATCTGTATCTGGATTGTGACATACAAAAATAATTGAAACATTTTGTATTGTCCACGCACAGAGCTCATCAAAAAGGGTGTAATATAACCCTTTCGATTCTCTTGCACTAAGCATTGGATGAACGTATATTTTTCTCTTCCTTTGCCTCCTTTTCTTCAGAAGTAACAAAAGGAGAAGATAGCCTACTTTTAATCACTCAATATTCACTGTAAACATACCGCTCATAACAAGTACAAGTACAAGACAAGCACTCACAACAAAATGAGTAACGGCGGTGGGCGGTAAAATTCTAGCTACAGTAGACCCCCTCTTAACCGACCTCGTATTAACCGATAATCGGATTATACGCCTTCGATCGTAAAATAATACAGTTTGTTTTAACCAACCTTGCTTTGAGTGCAGCTCGTTTTAACCGCCGCTTTCTAGGAATCCCGGCATTTCCGCTCCCACGCTGGGCGATGAGAACCGAACCATACGCTTATCTCCACAGGATATGACTAAGAATAAGTTATTTTGTGTTGATCACAAAAAATATAGCACAGCCTATTGTCAGTTTGTCATCATCGTTCGTAGCTCGAGCGCATCTGATCTGTTTGTTATCTGTGCGGCAAATGTATAACATCATAAAGTGTGTTATCGAGAACTGATTATCTTATCGCTGGAGTAAACAAACAACGCAACTTGTAGGGAGGGCAGGGAAGGGGGGTTAACAGCTCCAAGGTCAAGATAGTTTTTGTGCCTCCTAAACGTCCTGTCTTGTAACAAAATGGTTGCTTGTATCTTTAATTTTGACAAGAGGTTCTGTACCGTATTACGATGGATTTGTAAAGCATCAATTAATAAATTACAGTACAAAAGTTATTAAAATAGGAATTTTATTGACTCTTGCCTAGTATTATAATATATTCCACTGAAAGTAGGCCTATTTGACTTAACCGTGTTTTGTGTTTATTTGTGACTTTTCTATCAATAGGAAAAAGGAGATAAGAGTATAGTTTATTTGATAAATAATGCAATTATGATTTCAAAATAATGATTATATAATTCTAAATGAATAGCACTTCATTATGTTATGATTTTAGGGATTGTCCGTTTTATCCGACCTTTTGAGTTATCCGACCTAGGTCCCCCATTAGGGTCGGTTAAGAGGGGGTCTACTGTACTCAACTGGCTACTAGGTGTGGTGGCCAGTGCTTCGCCAGCTATTTTCGCTAGCGACGTCGCCAGGCTACTTTGTCTAATAGGGGCCATATAGTATATGTTTCATTACATCTCTGATTCTACTATACAAAAATATCAACAAACAACTTATTAATCAGTTCCATCGTCCATTGCCTTTACATTTTCACACTTACCATTAAGAAAACATAGTAACAGATATTTCATTGATTGACTCCGCATAAAAAATATTGATAGTAAACCTAATACACATTTCAGATCCACACTGAAGACCTGGTTCAAAAAAAAAAAAATTTTTAACCTAACTTAAGTTAGATCTCAGAGTAATAAAACAAAATTAGATTAATAATTTAGTAAGACATTTTTGTTATTTCTTAGTTTTATCGTAATTATTCCGTATAGGTGCCTCCAAACAAATTTTTAATTTTGATATCTTACTTTATAGTTTTTTTACCTCCTGAATCCAAATATACCATTATTTTTCACAGCTGATGAATATTTTTCAAGATATCGCCGTAATAATATACAACATTACAATAAACAAGGTAGCTAAGTAGGATGGATGACATTTACAAGTGGATTGAACTATGGGTTAAGTAAGCCAACAGCTGATTGTTTTCAATCATAGTCAAGCGAATGGAAGTGACAGATTAGCTAACTCTGATTCTGCAATATAAAAATCGCCTGATTAAGTTACGCTTTTCACTTTCTAAGACCAATAAGTTAATACATTTAATAAAATGTACCTATTATTGTTACCAGTATTTTATCCTTATTAATGATTTATTGATTTATATTTCGCCGTTTAGAAATTACATAATAAAATGGTGCTATTCTAACATAACCTAACCTAACCAAACCTCTAGAATGTAAGCAAACTCCTTTTGATGTCAGAAAAGGCATGTCAGGGTGGTAGGTCGTGCTTTTATGTGAATTGGTGACTGCATTAAGTCCTTTGAAGGTAGGTTAGACTAGGTAAGTTAAAGTTTAGGTTATAATGTATCGAGTTGTTAGTTTATGTTGCCTGCAGACTGTTTTTGTAAAATTAAAATCCAGAAACAAACACTTCAAATAACTATTCTATTCAATAGAATGCAAGCATTTTTTAAATAGTTAACTTATTTCAAGTGTTTTTCATAATATATCCTGTATATTATGACTTATGTCCTGTCAAATGATGTAATGACATGTAATGAATTAAATAAAAAAATATACAGTCTTGGTTTCGGGGTTCGACCGCGTCCTCAGGTTATGTACACTATGTCACAGAAAACATACTACCGTACTATAACCCAGAATGCCAACCGCATGGTAAAAACCATTAAGTGTTTTGAGAGAGCTTTGCCTGTCAATTCGTAGGCAGCGCCACCAGCGTTGCCATGTACTCAGCATAGCAACGCTGGTGGCGCTGCCTACGAATTGACAGGCAAAGCTCTCTCAAAACACTTAATGCTTTTTACCATGCGGTTGGCATTCTGGGTTATAGTAGTATACGTTTTCTGTGACTATGTACAGAAACTAATATACTTTTATATATAAGTGAGGACTGTGGAAGCCTATCCATAAAGATTAAATAGCCTAGTTTTAAATATAATATTGAAAAAAAATTTAAAGGTCCCCTAGCCCCTAATTTAAATACTTTTGGTGCTAAAGTAAAAATGTTGACAAGTTTCTGCTATCGGTAAAAAACATCGATGGCAAACATTACCAGTGAATTTCGCTCGATGTCAAAAATATCAAATATCGGCCTTAAAGTAAGAGTTAGGCCTAAATCGATACCAAACACAAATACCCCCGTCGCAGCAAACCTGCATACTAAGCGAATTTCCATTTAACCGGCTTGATTTCTACTAAAATATTCCCTATAAATTTTCAGATTTATTTCCTATTTAAATAACATTAATTTTAGTGAGTAGTTAGGTTTGCTGCTACGGGGAAGATGTTGAGGTGTGTTTTTTCAATTGAAATATTGATAGCTTAGTTTGAAATAAGTCAAATTGCCAAATTTGATTAAAATATATCCATAAACAAGCAAACTAGAACAGTTTATTTATTCTCCATAAAAATAACATGGGAATTTTAAATTTACAAGTTTTTTTAATTTTCTCCGTAGTCAATGAACATTCAAAAAAACTTCAATATACTAAATTATTTGTTTTTTTAAGCTCTTCAAAATGGTCTAGGGAGAAATTTAGAAATTTAAAGTTTTTAGGGACAAAAATGAGAAAAACACATTTTTACCCCATAAAACCCCCCATAAACCCCTGATCCCATGGTCCGATTATGCTGGTTCGCGAACTCGTTCGAATAAATGTAGGTTTACACGTTTGTACCAAATTTCATCAAAATCGGATCAATTTTGCTCGAGTTATCGCGCTAACGGACACATATATAAATATATATATATATATATATATATATATATAAATATATATATATATATGAATTTGAACGGATGGTGTTTTTGGCCTCTGGGGACCTCAAAACGAAAAAGTAAATCGGTCCCGGGTCTAGGTCTTACCATGAGACCTACGGTAATAGCTTATTCCCTATATGGGAAATTCGCTAAAAGGAACTGTATAACAGTAAGTTAAACCTTCTCTGGCTTTTGCGAATCACGTTAAGTACCTAATTGAAATATGTATCCCCCTGATGGATTTGAAAATAACAGACATAACTTACTTAGCCTAGCTCAGGGTACAGTTTCTTAACTGGGCTATGCTAATATTGATTGAAACTATCGAATTGGAAACATTGATTAGTAATCAATATTTTTAACCCGAGTGTTCCTTGTTTTGGCCTTAATGTCTGCCTATTTTTTGCGCATTTGCAAGGTTTTATTAAAACGGATCTGAGAAGCTTAAAAACAATGTTAATTATACTGTTCTATATATAACATTTTGTTTGGAAAATCATGGGCTTCAATATTATACATAAAACATAAGGAACATTTGTCTCAAAAAATTTTTTTAGGTAAAAAAAAATATTTTGGAAAGTTAAAAAAAAAAATAAGTTTGCGCTCAATGAAATTGTATACATTATAGGCCTATAAATATTTGAAAATAGCCACTTTGTTCAAAATTTTATGAGGATTCCAAAAATATAGTAATATAAGGAAGTACATTTGCAAATAAATAAGTTATGGGCAAAAAACAGATTTCGGTACGTAAGTTTAGCGTTTAGCTAAGAATGCATAGCCTAACCATAGCTAGGAATCTGGCTGATAATTTACATCAATATCACTACCTACCGGTACTTCTTCAGGATCATCAACCAGCCCTTCAAAATCACCTAAATCTTCTTATAACGCACCACGTATATCACTACTTTTGATTTTTAACACTAAAACAATGATAAACGTAGGCTAATAAAACACATCAGTCATCGGTGCGAGGTTAACCAAGCTGTTTACAAATACGTTTGTCAGCTGTCTGCTACAATTATGATCGGCTCGAGAAAAAAAAGCGCTTAGAGACAGACCTCGGGAGAAAGCTTAGAATCTGCCAAATAAAACGATACCTAACTCTATCCAGTTCAATCCGATTTTGTCATAGAGCCTTTGCCGTGTAAACAGTGTTTGTGAGTTGAAGCTTCGACAAATAACACTCGGAGGGTTAAATAATATCTATTATAAAATTAAACTATCATAACCTAACCTAACCAACCAAACTTGCTGATGGTGAAAAAATCGCATGAAGGTTTACTAATTGAATCGATAGTTTCAATCGATTTTAGCATAGCCCAGTTAAGAAACTGTACCCCTAGCCACAGAAAACATATTACTATAGCCTAACCCAGAATGCCAACCGCATGGTAAAAAGCATTAAGTGTTTTGAGAGAGCTTTGCCTGTCAATCGTAGGGAGCGCCACCAGCGTTGCCATGCACTCAGCATAGCAACGCTGGTGGCGCTGCCTACGATTGAATGGCAAAGCTCTCTCAAAACACTTAACTTAATGCTTTTTACCATGCGGTTGACATTCTGGGTTATAGTTGTATTTTTTCTGTGCCCTAGCTCGTATTGTATAGGCCTAGGATAAATTAACTGTTTGGAAACTAGGCCTAGGCCTAGTCACTCAAGTCTAAACTAGGATTTAGCCTACGTGAGGATTTAGCCTAAACCTGTTTATACTGTCAAATCTAACCAGTTTCAGAGGATATAGCTACCTATCTATACATCTTTTATTCGAAATGGCTCTTAATAAAAAAATAATTTACGTACCAAGTTAAATAAAATGGATGTATAATAATATCAATTCAATTTTCCTTTAAACATAAAACCAAACCACTGACATGACAAAACATAGGCCCTTCCTCAGTACGACAGTACATAACATAACACTAACATATAACTCTACTCTCTCTAACTCAAAACTAAAAAAAAAATTCACTCAAAATCAAAATATTTCACCACGGGGCGGGGTTCGGGATCCGGGAACGGGAACTGGACTGGAGATGGAGACTGGACTGACCAGTTTCCTTTAAACATAAAACCACTGACATGACAAAACATAGGCCCTTCCTCAGTACGACAGTACATAACATAACTCTAACTCAAACTCAAAACTCACTCAAAATCAAAATATTTCACCACGGGGCGGGGTTCGGGATCCGGGAACGGGAACTGGACTGGAGATGGAGACTGGACTAACCATAACCAGTGAAGTGAAGAGTAAGGTAGGAGGGAATTTCTCTGCTCTCTGGAGGAGTAATAATTTATAGTGGGGATGGGTAGCAGGAAAATATTTCAGTTCTGGCGGGGAGCATGTAACTTAGGGTGGTGATAATAAAAAAGCCTAAGAATGTAAAACCGCCCAGAGCCCAATTTTTGAGGACCTCGGTCGTCCGTATTGACGTCATCAAGATGGCGGTCGTAAGAGGAAGAGGATGCTGGGTCGCCATGAATTGGCTATAACCCATAACACTCAAATGTGTGAACCGATTTTAATGAAATTTGGCATACAAGTACTTGAATACATTATCTTGGCACATTTTGTCAATGGTTGAGTTTGATCAAGTCGTTTCAAAATGGCGGCCATTAATAACTAAAATAATAAAAATGTTTCAGTGTTTTGTCGTTCCAGAGATCTGCAGCAACCTATTCATTTTCCTTGCAATCACAGGTTGTGATACCGCCTCTGCATATTATGGAATAGGCAAAATACCCCCACCACAGCAATCCTGCAGATTAAGTGAGTTTCCATTTCCCTGATTTTTTCAATTTAATCAATTTCAATAACATTGGGTTTCATGAGTTCCTGTTTACTGGTACAGGGAGAGTAATAAAGTGAGTTTTTATTAACATATGCGTATAGCTTAGTTTAAAATAAATAGATTTTCCATGTTTCATTGAACTATAATCCTACTAATATTAAAAATGAGAAAGTTTGGATGTATGGATGTATGTTTGTGACAAGTGAACGCGAAAAATACTGGTCGGATTGGGCTGAAATTTGGCATGATGATAGCTCACATTCCCGATTAACATATAGGCATATTCTTATTTCAAAAATCCTTTCGGGCTCCGCCCCAGTGGCTCTGGGGTTTCCCATGTTAACCTTATGAGGTAAAGGTATATATTTATTCTTTACTGTTTGTTTACCTTTGACTTGAGCTTTGAGCTGATTGAAAAGGTGTTTTATGATTATGAAAATTAAAGTGCTGTGAGGGCAATGAAGCTGATTTAATTGTTATTAGGTATTGACAATTAAATGTTTTGCGTGCATGAATTATTAATAAAGTTTTAAAAGTTCACTTAACCTATATTTTTCGGATTCCTCAAGAAAGAGTGATTGTTAATAGGTTAATTGAACTTTTTCAAAGGCAATAACTTAAACTTAGACCTAAACTAAACTCAACTGAAAGGCCCAACTAACTTCTTAAAATAAACCTAGACCTACCACTACCAAAACTGCAATCTAACAAATTCACACACAAACACAACTCAACCTAACCTATTAACGATCACTCTTTCTTGAGGAATCCGAAAAATATAAAGTGAACGTTTAAAACTTTATAAATAATTTATGCACGCAAAACATTTAATTATCAATAGGCCTACCTAATAACAAATCAGCTTCATTACACTCACAGCACTTTAATTTTCATAATCATAAAACACCCTTTCAATCAGCTCAAGCCAAAAGTAAACAAATTGTAAAGAATAAACAAACACCTTAACAAAATTACAATGCACAGTTCGCAAGTCGCAACTGTTAAAAGAAACAACTATCTAACCAGGCCAATAAAGATATACGCTATAACACAAATAGCTGTTATCCCAGGATCTGTTCCAAGGCCTTCTGTGCATGTGGAAGCTGAGATGCTCGTGGGTACAGAACGTCGAGTAACCACCTAAAGTTGCAGCCTCCCCGCCAGAACTGAAATATTCTGCCACTAATAGGGGCACTATATTATGCAGCTATAGGCTACCATAGGCTACAACCCCACTATAGGGGTGAGAGGGACAGTGAGACTGGTCGGAGAATACGGAGTGGAGTGATCAAGACCACTGGACTTACTTTATTGACCTAGCTGACCTGACCAGTGAGAGTGAATTGAATATTACGAGACCGAGCCGAGAAACGAGAAAGAAAGCGAGACCCAGAACGGAACGGAGTCCAGGAGACGTCCATCGACACAGGAATGGGCACACGGGAGGGACTAAGGCTAAAGGTGTAGTGACGTCATATCTCCAGTGGCTAATGTATACTCTTGAGGCAACACGATTACCGTAACGAAACGTTGAGTTCTCAGCGGCGTTCGTGGCATAGTTAGTAGCGTTTCGATTTGATGTTCTGGAGGTCCCGGGTTCTAATCCCGCTGGTAACATCAACTTTTTGCCAACAAATTTTTCATATCAGCAAGTTTGGTTGGTTACCAACCAACCAAACTTGCTGATATGAAAAATTTGTGACAGTTTAATTTTATAATACTAAATTTTAAAATTAATTTTATAATTAATTAAAAATTATAAGTAATCATTAATTAGATTTTTATCTTATACAGTTTTAATATTAAGTTATCAGCAAGTCTGGTTGGTTAGGTTATGTTATGACAGTTTTATTTAAAAAATTAAAAATCTATATATATAAAAGACAAATCCCTCACTGACTGACTGACTGACTCACTCACTCATCACTAATTATCCTACTTCCCATTTACCTAGGAGGCTGAAATTCGGTACACCGATTCTTTGGGCATTAAATAGGACAACTAAGTAGTTTTTATTCTGATCGGGCTTTCGGGCTCCGCCCCAGGGGCCCTGGAGTTTCCCATGTCAACCTTATGATCTTACTAATATTATAAATGTGAAAGTTTGTGTGTTTGTTTGTTTGTTTGAAGTTCAATCACGCATAAACCACTGGACGGATTGGGCTGAAATTTGGCATGATGATAGCTTACATTCCCGATTAACATATAGGCATATTCTTATCTCAAAAATCCTTTCGGGCTCCGCCCCAGTGGCTCTGTAATTCCCCATGTTAACCTTATGAGTATTCATATTTAAAGGGAATTAAAGAATTTAGTCAGCTGTTTCAACTAAAAAAAGTTGGTTCTATGATATGGAAATACATGAAAAAGTTTTTAAGATTTACCAACAGGGTGCAGCACTATATTTTTTTGCATTTATGAAAACAGCTAATTTGAACTAAGCAGCAACAAAAAACTGTGATTCGCAATGAGAACTGTCAAAGTAGGATTGTTTACAGTTATGTATATGTTTTTCATTTCATGAATAATTTGATATTTTGCGAATTGATAATTTATTTTTCTCTATTGTTTAGGTAAAATGGTAGAACATTATCCGGCTTTGGTAGATGTGTAATACTATAGAATACTGTAAATTTAAAAAAGCAAATTTTATCAAACTGTGTCCTCCACCCATTGCAATCGCAAAGCTTGAGTATAACTGCAATAAGCATTTTATACTTATATTCCAACCCCGTACGAAGGACGGGTACTCTGCTAGTGTTTCATATTTAAAAGGAATTAATGAATCTTAACAGCTGTTTCAATTAAACAAGTTAGTTCTGTTCTATGATGTTCAATAGCATTAAAGTTACAAGGATTACCAACAGGGTGCAGCACTATTATTTTTTTTATTTATGACAACAGCTAATTTGCAACCAAAAGGTGAGTGAGCGTAGCGAACGAACATCAACCTGGAGGCGAGTTAGAGTAGCGAACGAGCTAGCCTGAAGGCAAGTGAGCGCAGCGAACGAGCTCCAACCTAAAGGTGAGTGAGCGTAGCGAACGAACTTCAACCAGGACGTGATTGAGCCATGCGAACGAGGTTATCTTGAAAATTAATAAGTTAAACGGGGCAAAGTCCGCGGGTATAGCTAGTTTATTTTATAATTTTAAAACAATATTTTATAATTAAAAAGTTAATTTTATAACTAAATTTTTTCAAAGTGGTTCTAATAATTTTAGCTCAGTGGCGAACGCTGACACTAATGTTAGCCTTAGTCCCTCCCGTGTGCCCCACCGTCCTCACACATCTTTGTTCTTGTCGTTGTCTGTTGTCTTATATGGCCTCATGAATTTTATTCAAGGCCACATTTGTGCCATTTAGAAAAAAAACATCTCAGTCAAATGATTTGTTTTTGTTTGTACCTTCTTGTACCTGTACCTAACTTTGTGTGTCGTGTGTGTAAACTGAGGTTATGTCTACGTTTTTCTTTCTTATTTATTAATTACCGTCCAGCCATAGCCAATTGAGCCAACCAGCCAACAGCCAGTTAGTTCCTACTTTGTCTTATCGAAAGACTGATTGTTTGTAGTCTGTTTTTTCATGGTTTGTGTGATATAAGATCAAGCTTCCATTAATTTGATCTAATTTCTCCAAAGCACACAATTTTTCAGCAGGTATGTTGGTAGCAAATGCATGCTCTTGGCCAATGTCTTTACCTAGGCCATTGAGTATAAACCTAACCTATAAACCTAAGGGTTAGGTTTATACTCAATGCCTAGGCCTAGGTAAAGTGTTTGCTAGGGCAGGGTTATTGTGATATTAAACTAAGTTAGTTTATAACAACCGAATGAGTAATATTGATTATTAAATTGTGTAATTTGATATATCGTTTGGTCAGTTAGGTTACGGTAGGTTAACCTTCTCTAGGCCTACCTAACTAACCAAACAATATTATCTAACTTAATAATCGATATATCGATATTTTCATTTGGTTGTTTGTGCAACAGATATGGAAGTGTACCCCAGCCGTTTGCTTGCAATTTTGAGCGGAGCTAGCAGATTAATTCAATGTCAATGATATATTTGTCTCACTTAAATAGAATGCCGGGTACCCAGAATGCTTATTTGCAGTTTTCAAAGTCTATTATGAGTCTGGTTGTTGTCCACGTGAATGAATTGTCTACTTGCAGGAACAAAATTCTATGTTTAATTTGGTTCTCATATTAAGTTAAATAAAAGTCTAGGCTAGGCCTACTTGCAGTATCCAATGTCAATGATATATTTCGTTCACTTAAATGGAATGCCTATTGACAGTATCCAAAGTCAATGGTTCGCCTGGTTCATTTAAATGAACCAGTTAGATCCAGATTCCCCATTTACTAGATCACAACTGTTGTTCACACACAAGAATACAAATTTACAACTAGTGTAACAACAGATCCATTTATGTCTGAGATGACATCTTGGTTGCCAAGCTTAATTAGCTGTGACAAAGCTGGAGTAAGAAAAAGACAATTACCATCAATCACATAGCTTTGTAATGAAAGGAAATAGTCATTTATAATGCTGTCATCAACCCATTTGTCCTTCAATATAATGTTTAAATTAGTGATCTCCTGTTGCACTAAACTATTCTTAACTTTAAGATCTACAATAACGTTCAATTGTTTTTTTTTTGTCTGAGTCGATTGTTTTCATAGAATTTGTCACTTCCACCAATTTTACATTTATCGAGCTGTTCTCGGCCATTAAGGAAGTCATGTCATCTCTTTCTCGGAGTTTCTCCTCCAGCAGCCCGATATGTGATGTCAATGAAGCGATCTGAACAGCGGCATCGTCTTGAATTTGAAAAGAAGTGTTCATCTCGTTTTGAAGACGGTCTTTTTCCCAACATAGTTTGGAAGACATAGTTTTCACGTCAGCCATACACTCTTGTAGATCATTAGCCTTTTTTCCCTGTCATCATTTAAAAGTTCAAAGTTTTGTTATAATTTAGAAATATGTCGGGAAAGCTTAACCAGAGATCCATCCGGGTAGGTGGCTTGTATACTATTTATCTCTTTGGTCAGATCAAGAAGCGTAACGTTCTTGAAACTCTTGTATTACCGGTACGTCACCCGATTCGGTTTCATTAATAAACTCATCTCCGCTATTCATTGTCAATAAGTTGGAAGTATTAGTTTGGTCAATAATATAGCGTTTGGTTAGTTAGGTAAGGTTTAACCTAACTAACCAAACGATATATCGAATTAAACAATTGAATAAACAATATTAGGCCTAGGTACTCATTCGGTTGTTTGTGCCAACAGATATGGATGTGTACCTACGGTGTGTCATACACTAAAGGCATTCTCTGTTCTTCTGTCACTTTCTCGACTTTAGTTCTTACTGCTGCCAAACACGCCCGTTCAACCCAAATTTCGTGCGGGAAATCGTAGTACACACCGTAACCCGTATTTTTCAAGTTTTTCACCCTACTTATTATGTATTCAATATCTGAATCATAAGGCAAGTGAGCAACAATAGTGTCTTTTTCCTTTCCTAATGGATGTACCGGCCTATTGATGCAAACTTGGTTAATTCCAAAAATTTCACTACAAAAGGTGCCTACAACGTGCTTAAAATCTGATGTTCTTGGACCCCATATTAGTCCCCTGAATATAAGGTTATTCCTTCTGGCTTCCAACGGCTTTCCAAATCAAGCAACTTATCCATAATAAGCCTATTTTGGACCTCAAGTTCCCTAATCTGTTCTCTTTTGGAATAATTTTCTTCCTGCAGGACTGCTACTTGGTTAGATAGGTTAATTAAATCACTTTTTGTGGCCAAAGTAGTGAGTTTGGTGTCAAGAAGCTCAGACATAACATCTCTTAGAGCACATCTTAATGACCTTTAGTTAGATCACCCACTTTTGCCTCGTCGTTTTCCATGTCTATGTCGGTTAATCCAATACACTTCTGAAGATTACCTGGTGAGGCAGGTGACGAACGGGATCTTCTCCGATTTGCACTTCTATTCGGAGTAAAAAAGTCACTAATTTTACTTTCAGTCATTAAAATTGGCACTGTAATAACTGGTAACTACTGTAGATTATCACAGGAACCCGCACTAAACGAACAGTTCCTAGAACGAACTAGAACGAAATTGTCCTCGGTCTCGGCAACACACAAACACGCAAACCTGTCCGTCTCCGACCACGTGCGGACTGAACCACAACTACTGATATCTTAACGACCAGTTCACTTCCCGACCCGAATTATCAGTCAATATCTTCCTTGAAGTTATAATTTTCGGTAAACACAGTACTGATAAACAACTCGGTAATAAACATTTATAGTTTACCAAATTATCGGTAGCTATTGACAAGCATGTCATACAACAACTGCACCAGTGGTGCCAACCTGGTTGATTACTATGACTGCTAAGTTTCGTGCAGATTGCTTCAGCCGTTCAGGAGGAGTATTTGTAACAAAAGCAGGAGTGTAGTATAAGAGCAACACTCGCTTCGCTTCGCTCCACTGAACAAGATGGCTAGGATACTATTCATACAACAGTCAAAAGAAAGGTAATTATCTATCGATCATGGACGAGTCTCGCTAAAATAATATTTTTGTCCCTTTAATTATGCTACCGTAAATAAAGTCCTGAATTGAAAAAAATGGTTGTCATTTTCCCCGAAAAAGCAGATAAAAGGAAAACAACATTTTTTCGAAGTAGGTCATGTGGGTTCTCAAATTAACCGGCGGAGTGAGATGAACAAGAATATGCAAGACTTTTCAAGATCTGATGGTGATTAACGGAGGTATACGGAAAAGCGTCGGAAAATCCAGTTAGCGCAAAAATGACAAAAACTACTTAAGCTAGGTTGGATTAGGTTAAAATAGATTAGGTTGGGTTAGGTTAGACAATAAATTAGATTAGCAATCAAAACCAGAATTTTGTCCCCTGTTCATATAACTAGCGTTTACACAACTGTAGATGTACAGCCAGGATTTTTACCCTCGGATTTTCCCCCCCGGAATTTTACCCCCAGGATTTTTACCCTCCGATTTTTACCCCTGGCCAGATATACAAATTATTGAGAATGATTAATTTTCTTCTTTCAGTTTTAATTTAATAGTAAACATTTTTATTATTATAGTAGTCTATGTTAATTTATTTGTAATCTCAACTAAGTAAACAGGATTTTGCTGTTTTATTTTGATATTCAGGATTTGGGTTTCTGGGGCCAACTGTTGGTATGTATGTAATAATCAAAGTAACTAATTTAAATGATAATTTGGTGAACAATTCTTAAACGATTAACCGTGGAAAAACAATTTATTTCAATTCTGTTGTACAATAACACAATATATGCCTTTTTGTTTCTTAAGGCACAAACCATAAGCTATTTATGGTTTGTACTGAGGTAGGTCATCGAAATACCTGTTGTAAAATGTAGTTTTAGGCACCCGGTACAAAGAATTCGACCAATTGTTGTATTGATAAGGCCTACTGCAAGGACACCAAAATGTTTGTATATAAATATTTAACCAACAGTTAGCCCTAAAAATCGAATCCCAAAACTCGAATATCAGAATTGAAATTCAACCCTGTTTGATTAGTTAAGGTTACAAATAAATTGAAGTACAACTTATCAAATGTGTACCTACTATTAAATTAAAACTTAAAGAAGAAAATTAATCATTCTTACTTATTTCTATATCCGGCCAGGGGGTAAAAATCCAGGCCGTACATATTGAGCTGACCTCATGAAGGGGGTAAAAGTCCGGAGGTAAAAATTCCGGCCCGTACACTCTAGGTTATTATAAATTTATGTGTTCTGATAAATTCTCATCCGTGAAAATATACGTTTAAATCCATCCAGGACGATGCCACTGTTGGGACGGTTGGGTCATTTGTAGCACTGCCTGGCCCTATTTATTGTATTGACATTGATTATTGTAATTAATAGGGCCAGACAGGGCTACAAACGAAGGTTAGTACATTAGATAGCAATATTGAGATAGAAGATGAACATTTTTCTGGTTATCCGACATTCAATAGTGAAGCAATCTTTCACTTAATGGGAATGGTTAACAAGTTAATGTGTGGATTTAGGCATCTGAGGCTTGGCATGTATGTATGCAAAAATAAGGGATTTGGCCAAACTGAATGTCGTTTGTGAGGTGTCAAAGAACAAAGTGTAACTGATGTTGCACTCCAGTCATGATGGAGAAATGGTTAATTCCCCAACCTGAAGGTGACATGAAAGACTGTTGAACCAGGACGGGGCTCCACCTCGGCACTACGATGTCCCAAGTTCTTTTAATGACAGACTCGCAGATGGTTTGATTGGCCTCTGTGCTGAGAATTGCTAGGCTCTCTCCTAAGGATCTAGTATAAACTTTTGTAATATTTTTAAATAAAAGCTTTTGAAATTAAGTTTAAAAAACTAGCCTACCTGAAGGTTGCAATCTATGTATATATGTAATAAAAATGGTCTTTTTCAGAATAGGCAGTCAAATTGAAGAGGAAAAGGAACTTATATTCATGTCGCAAGAAAGATAATTGACATAATCTGATATTTAAGTACATTAAACGGTAGGTAAAAAGCTTTTACTATACTAAAAGTACTACACAATGGAAGTAAGGGGAATGTTGCTGGAAGTCAACAGTCCCGGAAGATCAAATAATTTATACCTGTGCCGCTAGGTCAAAAACTACAATGTTTGCAGTGTCTGTAGATCAAAAGTCCCAGTAAGTCAAATAATACAGTCCGAGCTAAAAACGTGGTCTATGTTAAAGCAATTGACTTATTGGGAATTTGACCTAATGCAACAGCAGTTTTAATATAACGAAATACGGTAAAATACAAGTTCAGTTTCGCTGAGTCAATAGTGCCGGAAGATCAAAAGCAATAAAAGTGAACGTCGATTCAGTGTAAAGTAGACCTCCTGCAACGCTTACTACACCAACTAAACTCGCTTTTAGTTACTTCGTGTTTTGTCATAATTAGAATAGAGCTAAAATTATCATATTTGGTACATAGCTTATCTATTAATGCTTCTTGCCAACTGTTTGGTCAACACTGTAAATAGGTATAGCCTTTCGTCAAAATTTGTGGCATAAAATACCCGCAAGGACGATCTGAAAATTTCTGGTTATTATATACGTTTGTAAAAGGAGATCCATTGAATTGTAGAACTATTTTATGAGTTATAATGTAGTCTACATATAAACTGTGTAAATGTATTACGCCTCGGAAGGGTTGAAACCTGTCCAAACTATCATATACATTATTAAAACGTAAATGGGGTTTTTTCACGATTCTGAATCAACCAGACGATGGATTTTCATTAGTTTTGTGTTGAAAGAAAGACAATTTTGAGAACTAGGGAATTTCAAAGCTATAATTTAAAATTATAGTGTCCCAGTTTTTTATAAATTAAGTTTTAGTTTTTAAAAAGTCTAGCAGCCGATGCTAACCTTCTCCAATAAGTCAATGCTTCTAGCTAGCTTTCAGTACAATATAATTTGCTTAACATAACAGCTATAACATTCAGCATTTGTGACACAAATTCAGCATTTGGAAGAAAATTCAAATACATACTTATGGTTGGCTTATTTATACTATGTGTAATGCTGACCATTGATACATTTGATTCTTCGGTACGAGGATGGCAGATTAATTAAATATGCATAGTAAAATACAGTAGTAGGATGTTCAAATTATTTTTTAAGGTATTCTTTCTAATCATCGATTTGTTTTAGTCCAATATAATTTGTTTTAACTAACAGCTGGTTGAATGTGCTATGTATACTTATAAAAGGCAAAGCCCTCACTGACACACTCACTCTCACTCACTCATCATCACTAATTCTCCCACTTCCCATTTACCTAGGAGGCTGAAATTCGATACACCGATTCTTTGGGCATTAAATAGAAAAACTGAGTAACTGATAGGGCATTCGAGCTTTGCCCCAGTGGCTCTGGAGTTTTCCATGTTAACCTTATGATTTTTCATATTTAAAAGGAATTAATGAATCTTAACAGCTGTGTCAATTAAACAATTTATGACAACAGCTAATTTGCAATTAAAAGCTGAATGAGCGTTTCGAACGAACTTCAACCTGGAGGCGAGTTAACCCCAAGGCAAGTGAGCTCAGCGAACGAGCTCCAACCTAAAGGTGAGTGAGCGTAGCGAACGAACTTCAACCAGGACGTGATTAAGCCATGCGAATCTTGAAAATTAATTAGTTAAACGGGGCAAAGCCAGCGGGTACAGCTAGTTATTCTATAGAATTATTAGGTTTTTAGCGAATTTCGCATATAGGGAATAAGCTATAACCGTAGTACTCATGGCAACACCTGGACCCGGGACCCATGTAATTTTTCGTTTTGAGTCCCTAGAGGCCAAAAACACCATCCGTTCAAATTCATATATATGTAAGTGTATAAGACATTTTGGGGACTTGACTTTTTCGGGTCTCAAGAATTTATACGAAAATACACTATTGCAATATTTTGAGGACTTGAATTTCCGTATGTGTATAAGACATTCTGGGCACTTGACTTTTTCGGGACTCGAGAATTTAGTACTTTTCGAGGACCTGTGCAAATTATTCCATTCCAAATGCAGCGCGTTATCGATCTTCACCCTTGTGTGGGCCTCCCATTCACTGACGGAATGTCTCGTAGCGTATGACGACCGGATATAAATAGTCACTTTACACTCACTTATCTCGTTATTTTTTCAGCATATTCGTTGACCCGTCTGCAGGTCTTATGTTGACGGGCTGTCGGAGCGTCTGTTGTAATAACTGGAATTCCTTATGTATGTTTGCTGCTGATTACGGTGAAGTATTGTTAGAAATTCCACTTAATCTTTACCTATTAAAGTTACCTATTAAATTCATAGAAATAATACTATTTAACTGTTTGACGAGTACCCCTATTGTATTCAAAATACTAAACGGCCCAACCCAATATTTAATACAAGCCAAAGGTGTCTTATAGATTCCGAGTAAATTATTATAAACTATCAAATGGAGCATGTAAAGTGCATTATAAATAATCAATAAACCCTAACATAATTGACTATTGATTCAGTTACTGATTCGGGAATTACAATTGCTGATGATAACTGAATGCTCTGACCTGAAGCAGTGTTCTTCTTTACTTATTTACCTATAAAACACATGGGATACAGCCTTTCTTCACGGATCACGTAATGCGTGATTTTCTATAAAGTCTTGGAAAAATAAAAGGAAAAATAGATAGAATACAGGTGTACTGTATGTGGTTTACACACAATTATTCATCAAACTGCGTGATAGTTTGTTATTGCAATGAACAATTTGAGAGTATCGTATTGTTTAAGTCGATGGGAAATCTCTGTTGATCCTGTTTTACAAGCAAACCAAAAAGATACAGTAGTCACCACTCTATGCGACATATTCTAACCAGAAAATTGTAATCGTATGATTCTATAAGCATTGGTAGGATTGCAAAGTACTACACAAACATTATTTCAAGGGTAATAACAGTCACAATTTCCGCTGACTTTAATAGAGTCAACTAAACTATTATACTGTAGTGGCTGACAGATTTATCAGCTGACAGATGTTTTAAATAGTCTTATTGAATTTTGGTTACTATGAAGAGAAAAATAAACAAAAGGACATTCTTTTAGGCTTTTCAACCAAAGTGGTTCATTTTTATTTGCTCTAAACAATTAATTGTTAATTACTTGTAAAAGTATGATAAATTAAACAATAATATTTAGTGGAAACCTCTAGACTTTTATTTAAAGTATTTATCCCATTAAAATGAGGTTGTTTTCACTAAAATTGGTGACCCCGAATTGAACACATCAAGAACACATAATGGAAATCAATGAAGAAGTATTGGCTAGACTAAAACTGATGGAAGAGCAAAACCAAGATCTCAGAAAACAGCTTAATGATGTCATTGGAGTTGACTCTGAATATTCAAGACAAAATGGTGATTCAGAAGAAGATTTTTTGGTTAATCCAATGAATCAGAAAACTCAAGAAAGAAACAATTCAGTAAATCCAAGACCGTCTGACAACACAACTTCAATGCAATCTCCACAATTAAAATTTCCCAATTTTTGGCGTGAGAAACCAGCACTTTGGTTCATACAGATTGAGGCGATTTTCTCTTTATGGAACATTTTCGATGAGAGCCTTCGTTTCACACACGTTGTGACACACTTAGATGAGATGACTGCTTCCGAAATAGAGGATTTACTCTCAAACCCAAATCTGGAAAACCCTTACACGAGCCTGAAAGAAGAACTGAAAAGAAGATTATCAGTATCAGAACATAAGAGGATTAAGCAGTTACTCGTAGAAGAAGAACTTGGGACAGATACACCATCCCACTTTCTCAGAAGACTGAAATCGTTAGCCGGCAGCAGCGTACAAGATGACTTGCTGAGGATCATCTGGATGCAACGACTTCCTGTGCATATTCAAGGCATCCTGCAAACCCAGTTAGGCGCTGGGGTCAGTACCGAATCATTGGCAGTTACAGCGGACAAGATTCAGGAGGTTCAACCTTTGAGTTCACCTGCAATAAGCTGTGACGCTATTTTGTCAAACCGAGGTAAGCCAACGAATACCTTTTCTCAGACCCCACATAGTCACAACAATCTCAATCAAGGAGGAGGTTTTGAGGCAATTTTGGAGAAACTTTCAATGCTGGAGGAGTAAGTTAACTGTCTCTCAGATGACTTGATGACATATAAAAATAGTAAGTTCAGATCACAAAGTCAAAGCCAGTCCAGTAAACAGCATAGTAACTCACCCCACAATGACATCTACTGCTGGTATCATAACCGTTATGGATCACGTGCCACCAAATGCGTGACTCCTTGCTCTTACCCTTCTACAAAAAAACGAACTAGGCAACTAGATGCGGTGTCGACTAGTTGTCATGTGCCTAGACGCCAAACTCATGAATCACCCGGAGTTGACAGCAACCACAGCAACAGGTTACAAGTAATTGATAACAATTCTGGCTATAAGTTTCTGATAGACACAGGTTCAGACGTGAGTTGTATACCAATAAATTTAGTCAAAAGACCCTTAAAACCATCTGGGATAGAACTCAGAGCTGCAAATAACTCTGAAATACCCACTTATGGTAGTTTATGTCTCAACTTAAATATTGGTCTACAAAGAACTCTAGTCTGGAATTTCATAATAGCTAAAGTAAGCACTCCAATTATTGGTTCTGACTTCCTAGCTCACTATTCTTTATTACCTGATTGTAGTAACGGTTTCTTAATTGACAACATTACACAATTAAAAAGTAAATGTCAGTTCATGAATACTCAGCAATTTAGTATTAAATTAATTACTTCCGACCCATCAAACTATCCACTGTTATTGGAATTTCCAGAAATCACAAAACCTTTAGGAGTACCAAGATTTATTCCTCATAACACAGTACATTACATAAATACGACTCCTGGCCCACCAGTCTCATCAAGACCAAGAAGGTTAGCTCCGGATAAATATAAAATTGCCAAATTAGAGTTTGAATCCATGGTAGCAAATGGAACTGCTTGTCG